ACCAGCCCTTCCCTTTCCGCTCATTGCGGAATGCCATCAGAAGAATCAGGTGCAGCGTCAAGGTCGTGGATTTCCTATCAGCTTAACCCTTCCTGTACTGGAGAGGACAAGCCAGCTTATAAACTTAACCAGGAAAAAAACCCCCAAACAAAACCAAGACACCGTACAGTCTTGGACGCATGCGGAGATTTCTGATTGGCGGTCATTGATGTCACGCAGGTTTATAGACAACAGATCTGGGCATTTCCAAGTCTGCATTCAATTTCTGGACACAGTGCCTGCTCAGGGGACAGGGATTGGGATTGGTGGTGTGTGTGGTAGCTTCTATTCCTGACTAGAGCAAGTCCTAAGCAGGTTTCTAGCCCGTGCTGTGCCTCAGTTTCCCACTCTGTAAAATGATACTAGGTCGCTACAAAGTACCAGCAATGAAATTCAAGCCCCTTGAAATGAGATGTCACATTTTGGTTTATTTCATTGAAATTTTACCAAAAACTTGCAAAGTTCCAGGATTTTAAAAGTTCAAAAATCCAGAAGCACCCCCCACCAGACACACACACTAGTCGAACCTTCCTTCCTAATGAATTACCAGGATGTCTCCCTGCTGTTCTGACTCTTGATTAGCAAAAGACATTTGGTGTCACCCAGCAGTTGGGTTTACTGCGGTTCTGCTTTCAGGACCGAGTGTGTGAAAACAATGCTGTAGGAGGAAGAAAACCCATGGCATTTGTAAAATTTCTAATTGCAAAATTCATTACAGCAAAGATTAATTTTCACATCAGACTATATGAAACATCAATAGTCTCACTTATTTCCAGCAGAAGCCTGCCTTTTTTTTTTTTGCAACAAATGTTATGAAAAGCCAAATGTTGGGGCCACAGAGTGACTCAGAACTAAACTGCAAATACAGGGGAGTGAGAGGGTTGGGTTGGTGAACCTTCTTAAATAATACACTTATTTATTTTCACACAGTGCTGGGCAAGCCTTTCCTAGTGCCTAGAGGGAAGGATAAGGTTTAAATGAAAAGCGCTTTGAGCTCCTTGGCTGGAAGATGCTACAGAAGGGCAAAAAGATTTTAGTACTGTAAGTGGATGAAAGCCAATGCAGTCTCTTTGGCCTCATGTGGGTATCCACCAGTCCCAGGTGGCGTGGATGAGCTCTGCTCATCAGACTTTTTGCAAGCTTGATGGGGTAGCGCATGGAGCTGTTTATTCATGCCATGTTCCAGCGCGGCTGGGTTTGCGTCATCTACTGCAGCTGAACAACAGAGTCAGAGGGCCTTGACGCGAACAGAGTGATCATTCTGGAGAGTAGCATTTCCAGGTTACAGTGAGCTCTGGAAACTGGGCACCGTTTCCACACCACACTTTATGCAGGACAGCCCTCTGAGTGATAAGTGGCCTGCCCTGCAATAGCCTGAGGAGTGTGGAACAAAACAGATATCCATTGCCAGCAAATAGTAAAGTGCACAGGCCTGCTCATGGCTTTTCCCCAACCCAAGTAGTCACCCTCTACTGATGTGAGGAGGCTGGCAACGTGCAGGATGGTATCACTCCAGATATCCAGACTGAGGTGCTGGGGAGGGAACCCAGTCACTGGAGTCACAGCTGTTCCTCTTTTCCCAGGATGGTCCTTTCTGAAATTTATTTAAAACTCGTGCTCTAGCAAAAGGCACTCAGGACAGAAAACTTTGTCCTAATTAGAGATAAGCCTGAACCAGAACCCCAGATCTAAATACTGCCACACTTGGGGCTCCAATCACATCTCTAGTTACAACCTCCTCTGATCCAGCAGATGCAAAGTAAGGAGCAGATTATGACTTAGGGATCTGGAGCCAGAGGAGCTTGAACTCAGCACTGAGCAGAAGCTGAGCAGCAGGGCATGGCTAGTTGCTGCTGGCCACTCCTAGGGGTGGTATGTGCTGCCTTGTATGAGAGGATGATCAAGGATTCAGGAAACCTGGTGGGGCACTGGAAGGTGGAGTCCCTCCACGGAGGTGCAAGCCTAGCAGGAAGCAGGGCCAGCCTCATGGGTGAGCAATGCCGGCAACAGCTCAGAGCACTGTGACCAGGGGCACTATAGTCAAGAGCTGTGTTTCTCAAACTGGTGGGGTCCCAACCCAAAAGGGGGTCACAAGGCTATCGTAGGGGGTCAGTCGGGAGAGTGGCAGCTGGGCACCCAGCTCTGAAGGCAGCACTGCTGCCAGCAGCAGCGCAGAAGTAAGGGTGGCATGATATTGTAAAGATGGCACCAAAATATAAGCTTGCCCAGGGTGCCGTTTCCCCTAAAGCTAGGCCTGGAAGGAAGTCTTGTTTACAGAATGAGCTGCTGAAGTTATTGGAGATCCTGATGTCTGGGTGACGGTGGGCTCCTTGTTGCCTGCAGTTCCATTCACAGTGCCTGCCCAATTACCTTCATCTTCCCCTGGAATTGCTGCACTCCAGGCTGATGTTCTGTGGGTAGAGTAGTGGGGGGAAGGAGCATATGCAGCAATGGAAACCCACCCAAAAGGACGGGCTTCCATTGCTCTTCTCTGGTTTGCACTGAACTATAAAAAGCGGCTGCCTTTTAGTCCGGTTAGAATTGCAGTGGCTTAGTTTCCAGAGGAAGGAATGGCTGCAATGTGGGGGAGAGCTCTCCACTTGCCTTGGAAACCAACAGCTGGGCTGATACAATATTTCTCACCCCCTCACCCTCTCCACACGCCCTTCTGCAGGGCTGCATTTTAGTAGAGGCTGGGATTCCTGCAGCAGAATTTTAGGCAGCAGATCAAGTATGATCCAGGGTCCCTCCCACCAAGCCAGTGCCTCCTTGTTCCTGTGGTGAGATGAAGTCAACTTTAGCCCTGGTGCATCTCTATTGGTATCAATGGATTTACACCAGGAGGAATTTGGCCCGAGAGCTGGAATTTTAGAGAAGCCAAAAAGTCAGGAAAGAGCAAGTAATGGCAAGAAGCAATGGGTCCACGAGGGCTGTATCCATAGCTGTCTAACACAATGCTCAGATTAGTTGCTTGTGCTGGCCTGTCTCTTGTTAAACTAAATGGCCCCCTCCCTACACCACTCATGGCTTGTTGCTAAAGGCTCAAAAACAGGAACTTGTCAACAAGGGAGATCAGTGCAAACACATGCGTGCACACTCAGAGCATTATTACACAAATCACAAGAGTTTTCAAGTTCCACTGCTCAGGAGCTTACAGGAGGGAGCAGGAAAGCTGGACCTTTCCCTGGGGACAAGAGTTTTCCCACACACCCTCACTTGCAAAGCATTTGGTTCACCTGGAGCATGAAATCCAGTAAGGCTAAGGGCCAGAGAAGCACTAAGCAGGGACAAGGGGCAGAGCATGTGTGACATGGAAGCAGCACTGGATGTGGCTAGAGGGCAGAACATAGGCAATGCAGGGGGGACATGACTTTTCTATCCAGGGTGAAGGACCCAGCAGTTAGGAAAGGGGAGCCCCAGGACACATCTGAAGTTTCTCTCCAGTCACTGATGCTCCTTCCAGAAACCACACAAAGCATGGAGGGCTCCCAGAGCCTGCAGCTGATAAACAGAAGGGCAGCAGGACGTTTAGATTAGCACAGAGCAGCACGGGTGCCAATGGCAATTTATTGTAAACATGAAAGGAGAGAGTGCAATTGCTGCTGAAGTTACCATAGAAGGCACCTAGGAGAGAGAAGCAGCAAAGCAGAGCTCAGCACAGGCAGACCTCAGCCCCTACTTGGAGAGTCACAGCTGGTATACACTGAAGAGTTACATCGGCATAGCTATGTCTCGCAGTTAAACAGCCCTTAGCACAAGCCCCAGGATGAGGATGAGTCTGAGTCGGCTGGCCTGTGCCAGCCATGGCTGTCTAACTGCAGTGTAGACAGACCCTCAGAGTGCCCAACTGGAAACTCATCTTACTAGGGAACCCCCTTAGTAGGGAAATGCTGGCATTTCACAGACATATTCAGCCACATTTTTAAGGGGCCACTGATTTCGAATGTCTGTTCGGAGATGCCTGAGAATCAGGCCTTGGGTGTCTCAAGTTGCACACTCAGGATCAGTGGCCTCTTTTGGAGGCTGTGTGTATCAGCCCTTTAATTCCTTCAGTCCATTAGTTTGTTAATCTGCTGGTCACAGGAGTGCAAATGTTAACACCCAGCAAAGGGGATACAGTGGACTCCACCGAAATCCTCTGAAGTGAGGATGGGGAAAATTAACTCCTTTTTTAAAAAATTCAAGCTGTGGCGTCACAAGCCCAAATAAAATGGCCACATACAAGGGGTTACAAGCACAGTACGGTGTCAGCTGCATACACCTCAACCCCTTCCTTTCCCGTGAGGTTAGGATTAGCCCCATTGCACAGGTGGGGAAACTGAGGCACGGAGAGGCAACATGACTCTTCCCCCAATTCCCAGAGGAAGTCAGTGGCAGAGCTTTCTGTAGTCTGATTCCCAATTCCCTGATCTGACTCCCTAGACAGACACATGGTCCAAGTGACCAAGGAATGACCCTTGAGCACCATTCTCAGTACTGTCCTGAGCACCACACACCCAGCAAGGCTACCTCACCTGAGAGAGCACCCCGCCCCAGCTGTGAGAAGTAGTCCCAGCTCCTTTGCGGACTAGGACAGGTCCCTATGCCAGATGGCTGTGCAGCAGATAGGGTGACCTGAGTTAGTTAATGAAGGAGAGGGCTGTCAGCCTTCCCCCCAAGCCCCATCCTTCACGGTGGATAGGCAGTCAGCTCTGAACACTGAGCAACCTTGCAATGAAAAATAATAATAAATCCCAACACAAGTTTCCTCTGAGGAGACACCACCCATCCTTTTACATAAAGGGAAGGGAAACACTTGACCCTCAGAAGATTTGTCTGCTGCTAATGCAGGGCTCAATCCAGCTCAGAGCATTCCCACTTTTCACAGCAGAAGTGACCCCTTTGGGAGGCTCATTCTCCTAGTCTCTCCTTCATCCCACTGGCCCTGTACCAATGCTCTACAAAATGCTAACAGTGCTTACATTGGAGTCATCTTGCCTTTCTGGTCCAGGGATGCTCCTCCCAGATCTGAAAGTTGGGATCTTCATCACAAGTTGCTGGGTCAAGCAGGTTTATTTATAACTACAAATCAAAGCCATGTAGCTAAATGAGATTGGCTCCAGAGACAGATGCAGGAATGCATATACATAGAGGAGGTATGTATAGCACTTCCAGAAAGGAGCAACAACACTCCCATCTGAGAGCTACCCCTGCGGGTATCCTGGGTTAGGAAGCACCTTCCACAGATGGTCTCAGATGGCACTTCCCTCCTGGGCTGATTCAATCAATGCAGAAACACAATCCTATATTACACTTGAATGTAATTATTTTTCTTACTGTTCTTATTCATCCCTTAAATTCTTAAAACATTTAAAAACAAAACAAAAAAAGCTAGGCTACTTTCCATCATTAATTTCTCCCAGTTTGGACAGTGAAACATGGACCCTATAGTCACTAACTTTTGTTTCTAGTCAAGGTTGCTCTCAGCTTCTCCAGCACTAGAAGGATACTGTGATATTTGTGTTGCTGACACTAAAGGGGAAGGGTTATTAGTTAGAGCTGCTGGCTCTGTAATTTCCAAAAAGTTTCAAGGAAACATCTCTATTGATCTTAGGTTTTTGTTAAAAATACATACAGAGCTTGGGCCAAATCTTGAAGTCCTGCTCAGGCAAGAAATCCCTATTGACTGCAATGAAGATATTGTCTGAGTAACGCCTGATTTAAATCAGTTTAAAGAGCCTGAGGATTTGGCCCCGTTAGTCTGGGGATACATTGGGCCCCAACAGCCTCCCTGCAAATGGCTAAGCCCAGAAGGGGAGCTGGTTTACAACCCACCGCGCAGTGAGAATGTAGGGCCCGATCCTCCAACACGGTCACGCAGCTCTTGATCCGCGAGCAGCCCCCCGACCCCAGCGGGGCCACCCCCGCCAGCGAACGCCAACGCCCAGAGCACAACGCGCGTCGGCGCAGCGCCCCAGCCAGCACTGGGCCCAACAGCCCATCGCGGAAGGATCCGCCGCTGGGATTCGCGGGGCAGCACAAAGCACGTGTCTAGGAGCGCCAGGCCATTGGGTGCCCAGGTGCCAGGCAGCGCCACCTGGCCGCAAGGACACTGCTCGGGTTTCCCAGCCGTGCCTGGGTCCCTCGGAAGCGCCTTAGCGACGGGAGACAAAGACACCGGGGCGGCTGCCGTGCCAAGCGCTCCAGCCCCCCTGCGGTAACAGCCTCCCCCACAGCGCTCTGGCTGCAACCCCTGCGGCCAGCCCGGGCGGGCGCTTGCTGCTGCCCCAAACACGCACGAGGTCCCCTGGGACGGGACCCAACCTCTCAGCAGACCATGGCGAGTCCCGCAAGCCGGGTGCTCCCGCACACAATGGGCGGCCGCCCCCCGCGGAGAGCAGCGGTGGGTGTGGCAAGGCCCTTTCGGGCCAGGGGGTGGCAGGGGATCGGACCCTGTGCTGGGTGGTTATGTCCTGGGCCTGCCCCTAAGTCCCGGGGGTTCTGCCCGGGCTGGGCAGCTCCGGGGCCGCAGGAGCGGTGCCGGGCGCACGCCGCGCTCAAAGCGAGGAGCGGGCAGCAGTCCCCAGCGCCGCGATCCCGCCGGCGGCTGGGCGCTAGGGACCGGAGCTGTTCCCGGGAGAACCCACCGCAGCGCCCAGACGGGGCACCTGCTCCCCGGCCCGGCCCGGCCCGACAGAGCCAGTGCCCGCAGCCCCCCGGCCCGGGCTAACGCACCCAGCCCGTGCGGGGCAGCACGGCCCGGGCACAGCCCCGAGCGAGCCGCGCTTACCACTCAGCCTGTCCATGCTGCCGGCGGGTGCACGGGCGCGAGGCGGCAGCGAGGGGTGCAGGGTCCCGACCTGGAGCGCCCGGTGTCCAGCCAGAGGATGCGCCTGTCTCGCCTGGCACAGAGACGTCAACCTTTAAACCAGCTGCCCCGCCCGCCCTGCGCTTCCCCGGCTAGGTGCGGGGTCTTAGCGCCCGCCCAGCCCGCCGCCGCACCAGCGGCACGGCCCTGCGCTAAGCGCAGCGGGGAGGACACCTCTGCCGCCTCCTGCCCCTCCTCCCCCCCACATCTCCCCAGCCAGCCCCCGCCCAGCCACCTCTCCGGCCCCCATATTCCCCCAGCCAGACCCCACCCCACCCACTGCTCCTGCCCCCCAGCCAGCTCCCCCACCCCAGCCACCTCTCTGGCCCCCACATTCCCCCACCCCACCAACTGCTTCTGCCCCCCAGCCACCTCTCCGGCCCCCACATTCTCTCCATCCAGCCCCCACTCCAGCCACCTCTCCTGCCCTCCCCATCCAGCCCTCACCTCTCCACTGCTCCTGCCCACCTCTCTTGCCCCCCGCAGCCAGCCCCACACCCTCCCATACTTCTGCCTCCCAAGGTCCACCCCACAGCCACACCTTCCACCCACACACCTCTCCTGCTTCCCCACAGCCAGCGCCTCACTCCACCCACACACTCCCCAAGCGCTTCCACCCCCCTGCAGTAACAGCCTCCCCACAGCACTCTGGCTGCAACCCCTGCTGCCAGCCCAGGCGGGCACTTGCTGCTGCCCCAAACACCGAGCTCCCTCACCCCAGCCACCCAGCTCTCCTGTTCCCCTCTCTGAGCCAGCAGCACCTCACCCACCCCAATCCCTCAGCCTCTCACCGAGATCCCTAGGCACCGTGCTGCAACAGCCTGTTCCACCATACACACACCAGCTTTTCTCTCCCTCCCCAATACCTGTCCACTGGCAAAGCTCAAATGTGGTGGGGCACTGAGCAAGCCAAGAGGAACACAAGCAAGCCGCAGATCACGCAGAGCTGAACAACGGGGGATACTTTTAACAAAAATACAACTCTTGTTTCCTGAGTCAGCACTTTTACTGTACATAGCCTGCCTTATTGGAAATCCTGGGGTGAGTGCAAGTCTGTGTGGGGTGGAGGAAAGCTGAGTCTAAAATGAGGGGCAGTGATCAGGATGTTCTCCCCTTGCCCTTACACTAACCCCTCCCCATACTCCCCCTTACCCATTTCCATAATGATAGGAGCAAGGCTCTCCTAGCCTGAGAAATAGGCCAGCTTTCAGTTTCCTCCCAGGTGAAACCCTAATCACTCTCCTTTCCCGCTGCTGTGCTTCTGTAACTCCCAAGCTGCTCTTCCTTTCAGGGTTCTGGGGTGTTTCCCTTGTACTCTGGATCTTGCATCACAGCTGGGGTGACAGGCGACACCTCACATGGCAGGCAGCATCTGGAGTAGCAGAATTCCCATAAGTACACAGTCTGTGTGGGAGTGAAGCCCGAGAAGTTCATCCTGATCTGGGCTGGGAATACGTCACCTGCTTATCTTCTGCTGGCTTTACAGGATGGATCAGCGTAGGGCATGTTGTTGATAATCACTGGGACTGAACAGACACACCTGGCAGTGCTCCTAGAATGCTTTTGTGAGGTTCAAGGGTGCAAGGGGTAGAGGTCAGCCACCAGCCAGTAACATTGACGCTTCTGGGCTCCAACCTGCGCAGACAAAGGGACTGGCATGTTGTGAGTCCACCACACCCAGGTGTGTGTTTGGGAAAGATGGATTTGCACTGTTGTCTACCCAGAATAGATGAACATGGACAGTGTCAGTGGAAACTCCCCCCACAACACTGCCTTCCCTATGTTTCAAAGTCGTTCTGGAAATACCAGCTCTATCCAGAGAAGTTCAGACTCTCAGGTCTGCTGGTATCTCAGCCCCTCTGCTGAGATTGTAAACATGGGGGCCAGTTAGTGTTTCTCCTGGCAGTCATTTCCATGATGTGCACATTTGTCTGCAGAGAACTCCCAGACTCGTGTCACGGGACCTTTCAGATCCTTGTGACTTTTAGGCACTACCACTCCCAGACCAGAGCTGAATGAGTGATACAGAGGCAAATAGCTCCATAGCCCATTAGCACCCCCAAGAGCCAACTATTCCCCAGAGGAGCCAGCTGCCTTCCCAGACACGCTCCCTCCCCAACCCCATCCGGGAACCCAGATTACTTTCTTTTCTCAGAGCACATTGGGTTTGCTGCAGCTAAACTGCAAATAGATCTTTTCCTCCAATTCAAATTCTGGTTAGTGGTGGAGGGCACACTCAGGCCACAGCTTTCAAAGCAACTATAGAAATGGCCAGCTGGGCCCAGACAGGCTTGTGGTTGTGGCCTGCAAAGCACTAAAATTAGCAGATTAGAACCAGCCAGAACAATGGTCTTCATGGAAAGGTTTTAATGCCCCCACCTCACCCTTCTCCTTGTGGTGAGCTCCTGGGGGAGCAGAGCATAAGGCAAACACTGCTCGCTGCAGGGATTGGCTCCTTCTTAGAATTCAGTAGGCTGCCTCGCTGGAGAATAGATCTGGTGGAATGGGAATACAGACATGGTGGACACCAAACACAAAGGTGACAAGGAGACAGCCCTGTCTGCTGCCCCCTTAAGGCATATACAGGAACAGCACATGTCTGCTAGTAGCATATTCCGCCAGCCAAGGAAATTGCTCCCAGTGCTGTTTGGTAAATCTTCTTGCAGCCCTGCCAGGCCTTTTGCACCTTCCTTGCTTTTTGAGAGCAGCTGCCTCCATTTGTCCTTTGTACTTTCATTATGTTTTGACCTTTCCTGTCAACCTCTCATGGGCCCAACAGGAGTTTTGCCTTTGATTTCAGTGGGAGCTGGTTTGGCCCACCAGTATTCACACATAGTTTGCTGCTGGGGTTAGGTAAGTGAAGGAAGGTGCTTTGCCTCCATCATTGTGGGCCCTTTGGCATGCTGGCTAAAATCTGTGTCTCCCCCGCTGAGGCTTCTGTTCCCAACTTACCCTAAAGACAAAGGCCTGTGTGGGAGAATAGGGCCCTTTGTCTCCCCTGCCACAGAGTGAGGAGCAGGAATACCAAGGCCAGAGGGCTCATGTTGTATGCACTACAATGACAATGCAGTGGGACAAACTACACGAACAGGGTGGCAGGGTGCTGGGCTTCAGCTTTTCCCTTTTGCCCCTCCTCCTGAAGGGCCACGCAGGGGCACCCCACAGGGCAGCTGCCCCAGGGCACACTACATAGGTACAATATTAATAAATGGAAACATCCAACCCCAGCACCTAACAGATGGCAGTCCTGCATCTTTCCTAAAAGATCCTGCACTTCAACTGAGTCTGAAACGAAACTCAACAATCACAGCTGCAAACGTCTTCCTCTTTGACAGGTTCATGGGGAGGATGTTTCCTGGTAGGTTCCCCCTGGAAGATCACAAACTTGGAGGGAAAGCCCTGCCTCCCCACATAAAACAGTTTACTACTGTGCCCCCAAAATATATACCAAAATTACCTGCCAGGAGCAGAGATCAGCAATTATATTCTGCCAGCGTGAACTAGTGGACTGATCACAGGGCTGGGAGCCAGGGATTTCTAAAACTGGCTCTGTCTGATACACTGCAATAAGTCACTTAACCACTCTGTGCCTCAGTTTCTCCACCTGCACCACAGAGATAAACACACTTCTCCCACCAGGGGGATGTGAAGAATATTTAGTTAATACTTACAAAGTGTTTTGAAAATGAAAAGTGCTTTGTGAGTGCTAAGCATCCTTATGATTTGAAGCTCTGAATCCTCTAGGGATTATCATGGGAGTTGCTGCTGGAGACTGAGGTTTCTCATAGCCCCAAATAGCTGAGCTTGATTTAGGGAGATGCAGTTTTATGTGGGTGAAATCATTATAAATACAATTGGCTGCACTTACTGCTGTGCTAAAGTAGACAGAAGCAATTACCAGCACAATATTACACTCTTCACTTCATTCCACAGCCCATTCCATGCTGAGGTAAAGCTTAAAGACCCATTGCTGCTTGCTGAAGACATATTTTCTTCCTGCTGCTCCAGTCTCATGGTGCCAGCCAGGGGGATATACAATGGTGCCATGTACCAGCACAGCAGGGCAATGGGCCAGAGTGGGTAGTTCCCCTATCGCACATTGGGAATCTGATGCCAGTTCTTTGTGTATTGAGTTTGGTGGCCTCAGCCTAGAAAGTAACATGAGGCAAATGCAGCACAATCAGCAGCAAGAGGCTGGTTCTCTCTGGGGAGAATTCAGCATTCACCTGAGGATGGCCTCGGTGATGGTGCTCACCTGATGAAGGGGATGAAACCCAGCAGATGACAGAAACCAGCATGGAAAATTCCCAATACAGGTTTTAAAGATAATCACTGATAATCAAAGAGCTGGAACAGGCCCATTAGGCCATGGAGTCCTTTCCCTTTGCAAGAGCAGAACATTAGCCTCCACTCCCATAACAGAGAACATAACAACTGATATGACACTGGAGTGTGAGCTTGCTTTGCTGGGCATGGACTGGAGAGCATGGGGTGGGCACTCCTGGGACCTGCCTGAACATTCACTCAAGAGACCAAACAGGAAATCAGAGAAACATACAAGACAACAGGCAAATGGATTTCTGTTGAAATAGCATATTAGTAAAAACACCAAACAAGCAACAAAACTCTACAATTTCCCCCAGAGTTATAGAGAGTCCTTGCAAATGTCTTTATTACCTCCCTCCAAGAGGCTGCTCTAGCAATTTGATCTGGGACAGGGGACGTTACTAATGGCTGAGAATCAGGAAAACTCCAGCAGATAAAATAAAAAGGGGAGATGCAGCTGATTCAGTTTCTAACAACAGTCTAACATGCCTCCTTCCCCCTTTTCCTACAGCTCTCAACCAGCTACTTACACACCTGCTTAAAATCTCATGAGTAGACTCCAAACAGACCCCAAACCAGCTGCTGCTACTTCAGGACAATTCCTAACCAGAGAGATGGGGCTTAAGCTACAGAGTTCAAAGCGTAGCATCCCAACTCCCCCGAAGTCCAGGCCTGGATGGATCTGGGATCTTGATTCAGGCCCACTTCAAATCCTTACAGCCACAAAACCCCTCAGCAGAGGTGCTGTTAGGGACATATCCACCCCCAATCTTGGGCTTTATGCATTACACTTTGTAAACGGCTTGGATCTGTTACTCTGATGTAAAATTACTAACAGTGGCTTTGGATATGTGTGTGTGGAGGGGGCTCTGATGAGGACAAACCACCGTTCTGTTACTTGCAGGAGAAGAAATTTGCAGGTATGGGTGGAAGGAGCCTGGAGCAGCTGGAAAGGAGTAGACTAACACAGCTGCTACTCTGGAGCAGCTGGGACACTGTGGTTTGGAAATATGAAGGTTGGGAAACCTATTTCATAGCACAGTACTGACAGAATGACTCCTGTGATCAATGTCAAATCACTCTGCCATGGCCTGTTATTAAAGAACCACCACCAGTACCAGGGAAACTAGTGACAAATACTCCACCCAGAAACAGTTCTGCTTCTACTGCCTATATTTCCTTTCCCTGTGCTTTAATTCCCAGGGACTGTTTTCAGGCCGTGGGGGAACATGTCTCTTGGAAGCTTCTGTTGCTGCTTATTTACTATTCCTCCCTCTGAAGTCATAATCATCTGCTTGTGACATCCCAGGTGGCTCTGTGGAGAGACATGTGATCTCACAAGCAGATAAGTACTTTTGTGGAGGGGAAAGGAATAAGCCACAGAGGAATGTAAGACCCTGATGGGATGAGATCCTGTTTGCAAATGTCCCCAGTAATTAAACAAAGAACAGGGGAAGGGAGATGCTGGGAAGACAGGGTCTCTCAGGAGGATTGTCCCCCTGAAGAAGGCTTTGCAGAGTTTACCTTGTCAGGCTGGTGGCCCTTTAGATAGGACAGGGGGATGGTAGGCTCATCAGTGAGCCCTCTGGAGCGAGAGGTAGCACATGTTCCAGTCTCTCAGCTCTGGGCCCTGGAAGTGTTGCAGATGACACAGATCTGACACATCTTGTAATGTTAGGTTTCAGAGTAGCAGCCATGTTAGTCTGTATCCGTAAAAAGAAAAGGAGTACTTGTGGCACCTTAGAGACTAACAAATTTATTTGAACATAAGCTTTCGTGAGGTACAGCTCACTTCATCAGATGCATTCAGTGGAAAATACAGTGGGGAGATTTTATATACACAGAGAACATGAAACAATGGGTGTTACCATACAGACTGTAACCAGAGTGATCAGGTAAGGTGAGCTATTACCAGCAGGAGAGCGGGGGGGGATCTTTTGTAGACAGCCCCCCAACCTGAAGCAAATATTCACCAGCAACCACATACCACACAACAAAAACACTAACGCAGGAACCTATCCTTGCAACAAAGCCTGTTGCCAACTGTGTCCACATATCTATTCAGGGGACACCATCATAGGGCCTAATCACATCAGCCACACTATCAGAGGCTCATTCACCTGCACATCTACCAATGTGATATATGCCATCATGTGCCAGCAATGCCCCTCTGCCATGTACATTGGCCAAACTGGACGGTCTCTACGTAAAAGAATAAATGGACACAAATCAGTCGTCAAGAATTATAACATTCAAAAACCAGTCGGAGAACACTTCCATCTCTTTGGTCACTCAATTACAGACCTAACCCTTCAAAAACAGACTCCAACGAGAGACTGCTGAATTGGAATTAATTTGCAAACTGGATACAATTAACTTAGGCTTGAATAAAACTATTTCCCCATGTTTATTTCCCCCCCCCCCACTCTTCCTCAGACGTTCTTGTCAACTGCTGGAAATGGCCCACGTTGATTATCACTACAAAAAGTTCCCTCCACCCCCCTCTCCTGCTGGTAATAGCTCACCTTACCTGATCACTGTTGTTACAGTCTTCAGAGTAACAGCCATGTTAGTCTGTATTCGCAAAAAGAAAAGGAGTACTTGTGGCACCTTAGAGACTAACCAATTTATTTGAGCATAAGCTTTCGTGAGCTACAGCTCACTTCACCCATTGTTCCATGTTCTCTGTGAATATAAAATCTCCCCACTGTATTTTCCACTGCATGCATCCGATGAAGTGAGCTGTAGCTCACGAAAGCTTATGCTCAGATAAATTTGTTAGTCTCTAAGGTGCCACAAGTCCTCCTTTTCTTTTTACATCTTGTAATGATTCCCTATGATTTGCATCAGCAATGCCCTGCAGGGTTTGGCTGCCCCTGAGCTCCAGTGCAGGGGTATTCTCCCCTGGCAGCTGGGGATGGGAGAGCAGGAGAGGGAGAGAACAAAATTGAGGCGCTGCCAAATTGGGGTGAGGGGCCATGTCATTTCTACCAGGTGCCAACACAGATGGCATCTAGGGAGGGAGTCTATGTTAGCAAGGGGTGGGGTGGGCCAGGCCAACTCCATTCATTTTCCTCTTTCAGTTCAAGCCCAGCGGGTAGGACTGATGAAGGGGGAGGGAGACTGCAGCCCCCTCCCCCAAGCACTGAGAAGAGGGGCAGTTTAAGTATACCAGGAACCATCCTACTATCAATGGCTGAATCAGATGGCAGGGCCCCGCCTGCTGGGAACCCTGGTGTGAGGGAGGGAACCTCTTCCTCTGGCTCCTGAAGGCGCCTGGCCAGGCTGTGCAGCATGAGTGATACCAGGCCAGGAGCCCAGGGTGTGAAGGGGCAAGGGAGGGAAAAGGGCCAGTCTTTTACTGAACATGTGTTGCAAATACCCCTTCCTCCACTGGCCTGGGATTTCCAGCCACTGCAGGTGAAGGTGGGTGTCTGAGATGGCCTGAAACTCCAGAAGGTTCAATACACAAACAGTCTCACACCCCGCCCCCAATCGTATTAGAATAAAAAAAGAACATAAAGGAAACAAAGAGCGTAAAAATATCTGAGAGACTTCAATTTGCTCTACGGAGTTCCAAAGAGAGTGGCCGTTCCTCCTATTGTACAATAGAGAGAGTTATACAGAGCTTCAATATAGAGATCTTTCTATACATATATATATATATATTTATAGGTATGTATATATTTATAGTGCATTGCGTTTAAAACAGCCGTGCCTGCTTCTTCAGCTCGTTCCTCTTCCACAGGGCCAGGCGGTCGAACTCTGCAATGGTCATGCTGAAGATCTGATAGAACTCGTCCTGTGACAGGTGGCGCTGTGGGGACAGCAGAGAGGGGCATGAGGCTGGGTGTATGGGCCTGTGACAACACGAGGGAGTGCGGCTGCCATGGCTCATAACTGAGAGGGCCTGTGCAGATGCCATTGTGACTCTGCGTGAGCATACGCAAGCGACTGCCTCTGTATATGTGTGCGTGTCTGTGTGTGCGCGCATGTCATTGTGACTATCCAAGTGTTATTGTGTGCAGCTGTGTGTGTATCTGTGTATGTGCAATTGTAAGTGTGACCAGATGCAATTGTGGCATGAGCACACACAAATGCCTGTGAGTGTGCGACTGTGGCTGTGCAGAGCTGAGTGTGTGCGATTGCGGCTGTGTGTGTGCCTGATGTGTGTGAGCATGTGTCTGAGTGTGATTGTGTGTGAGTATCTGTGACTGTGGCTGGGTGTGAGCATGACCACATGCCAGCGTGTGCATAAGTGACCCCCTTCCTCAGCCTGCGGCTGGGACACAGATTTGCACTGCCAGTTCTGAACCCCGAACACCACGCTGGTGACCTCTGACCCTCACCCAGCACTGGGGCTTTTGTTGGCTTCAGGCAGCCAGCCCCCCACAATGGGTCAGTGACCTTCTAACCTGAGCTTTTCAAAGGAGGGAAGCTTGGGAAAGAGCCGGCAGGGGGAATCCCCTCTGAATTGTCCCAGAACTCGATGGGGTGGGGAGGAGTGATAGCATTGGTGTGATGCTGCGCTCAACAGGTGATGTCCATGCAGACAGCATTAACCCCTGCTCCATCTGCAGGGACCTTAGGTCTGAAACACCTCAGGTCTCCATGCTGGGAGATGACATCTAACAGGCAGGAGGGCAGCTACCCTTGCTCCATTCGGACCTCCTGCCCCAGCCCTAGCTGCACTGGGGGAGGAGGGAGACAGTGTCAGAAGGGAGTGTCCCAGTGATATTCTCCCCAGCAGGGAAGGCTTTGCTTACCTCTAACCGAGTTCTGTCCACATCCTTGGGCAGCTGGTTCCTCCCCCTGGTGGTCACCATGAGCAGCTCATAGGGGTATATCTGCAGAGATAGATGAAGAAACGTGGGTAGGCTCTCTGAGCTGAGGGAACCCACAGCAACAACCCAGCGTCTAGTCCTTGGGTCTGTTCTGTTTGGCTCAGGGGTGGTGATTCTCAGGGGCCCAACTCTCACGGCAGAATGGAGCTCAAGCTGACACTGCAAGGCAGGGGAGCTGCTCTGATGGAGAGGCTGCCCTGAGGGGCGACACTAACCCAGCTCCCTGTCTGCCCATCTCCAGGCTGACGGCGAAGACCGCTTGGCTTGTCACAGAATGGTTCCAAAACTTTTTACTCAGGCAACTCACCAACTGCATTTTGTCTTTTTTTGCAACCCACCATTACGTACGTGCATCCTCTGCCCTGGCACCTCAACCCTAACCCTGGCCAAGTGTAGAGGAATGGCCAGGGAATGAGCCTGCCCCCCATTCCCCCTGCAGCAGTGGCTCCTGTCCCATGAGGCTAGAACCGGCTCCCTGCTCTGGGTGTTGTGACCTGGCATGCAGGGTTGTAGCACTCGGGTTTGGTCCAGTTGGTGGTGCTACAATCCCATGGGCCAGGTTGCAACACCTGGAGCGGGGAACCAGGCCCAGCCCTGCGGGACTGGAGCCAACAATGTGGGGCGACTGCGGAACAGGCTCACAATTCATCTCCCCAACCCATCCAGGGTCTCCCCTCTGAACCAGGCTGGGAGAAATGTATGTTTGCCTAGGCCAGCGCCCAGTGATGCATTAACCTGGTTCTGGACATAGTGACCCAGCTAGAACCTTCTTGGGACTCACTGGTGGGTCAGGACCCACCGTTTGGGAAACACTGGTGTAGGCGATGACCTAACATCGTACCTAGCATCCCCTCTCCCCATCTAATAGGTTCAGCATCCACAGCTGGGTGGGAGCTGCTGCTGCTGAGCCCAGCACGACAGCTATGGTCACCCACCTCATCAGTTCTTCCCCCAGCATGCAACTTTGCTGGGCAAAGCGTTTGGAGACACCCGCAACGTAAACCATGCTCAATTGCAGCCCATTCTGTTGGAGCTGATAATAGCAGGGGGGACAGGGTGGCTGGAATTGAGGGAAAGTGGAGCCAGGGCATGTCTGAGGGAAGGGAAGGTGTCTGGAAAGGCCTCAGTTCAAACATGGGCTCCGGAGACCAGCCCAGGACACAGGAGATGGAGGGACAATCCCCAAGGACCCTGCCCTGGTGGCATTCGGACATTAGATGGCATCACTGACTGGATGGCAGCTGTTCCCCTCTCCAAGGAGAGTTTTACCTTGTATTCTGTAGGGAGAGAAAGAGAAGGAAAGAGACAAGAAACGAGTCAGTCAGCAGCCTCTGAGCCTTCCCTTTGCCATCAGGCGAGAGCCCCGACTCCCCACAGGAGACATGGCCCCAGGTGTGTTCTCCCCTTGTCTGTCTTGCCTCTGGCAGCTGCTCCCAGGGGGCTGGCCTGAGGGTGGGGTTACAGTGTGTAGGCTGCTCTCTCTCACTCCCACAGCTCCTGCCTTCCCCACTGCCACTCTACACCTGGCATCTCACTCATGGTTTCTAACGCAGCTCAGGAGGAACGGAGGCACCAGCAACACTGCGGACAGTTCAGCCCAGCTCCATTGAGAGTGCTGGTGAAGTCAGGGCCTGATCCTACAGGGTGCTCAGGGCCCTTCTGCAGCATTGACTTCATGGGAGTAGAAGGTGCACAGCTGCCTGCAGCATGGTGGGGCCTATGAGAGACGCTACCAAGTGTTTTAGGCCCTAAAGGTACTTGTTGCTTTTCAGAGGTTTTTAAAAGGCTTTTCATAATATGAAATAATAATATGCCAGCGTGTGCATAAGTGACCCCCTTCCTCAGCCTGCGGCTGGGACACAGATTTGCACTGCCAGTTCTGAACCCCGAACACCACGCTGGTGACCTCTGACCCTCACCCAGCACTGGGGCTTTTGTTGGCTTCAGGCAGCCAGCCCCCCACAATGGGTCAGTGACCTTCTAACCTGAGCTTTTCAAAGGAGGGAAGCTTGGGAAAGAGCCGGCAGGGGGAATCCCCTCTGAATTGTCCCAGAACTCGATGGGGTGGGGAGGAGTGATAGCTCCCTGCTCTGGGGCTGCACTCAGCACTGGGCAGAGGAAAGGGGGGGCAGTGGTGGGTCTCCAACAACTAACCTGACCCTGCTGCTAATGGCCCCTAAGGAATAACCAGGGGGCAGTATTGTTCAATGAAGGGGATATGAAATGCCCCTCATATGCTCTATGTGCTGGGGGTGGCTCTCTACCACCAACGAGGGAAACTCGCTGTCATGAGAATTCCCTGGATGATAGGTCAACCACCATTGCAGCCCCTTGATGCAGAGATGAACTGGGCCCAATATTCATAGGAATAGTTTCATTACAGTACTTTTACATTGCAAAGGAAACAGTGCTATGGTTTAACTTTAACCGTTCCCCTGCTGGGTTTGTAACCCCAACACTGCAGGAATTTGCTAGGGAACGAGAACTGGAAAGAAAAACTAACTGGACAGTGACAAAGCAAGAAACTGATTAGCCTATTTTCATTCCCCAAGCTGGCAGAAATGCAAAAAGCAATAGCAGGAACAGTGACAAATCCACGGATTGTTCTTTCAGTTTTACAGTGTCAGGGGCCATCGGTAACACAGCTTTGAAATGCATCGTTAGCAATGTGAGGGTGTCCCTGATCTGCTGCCACAGGGCCAGCTGGGGGTTCTAGGCAAGAGCACAAAACAGTGTCTCTTGTGCAGGACCTGCAGGCTGTCGTGTTCAGAGCTCACAGCTGACTCTGCTGCGCAGGATCTGGAGGAGACTATCTAGCAAGCGCTCACTCCCATAAGAGGGGCCATTCTAGGGCCTCAGCAGGATGGTGGTGTCCCTTTTAAGCACATTGCCACAGGCTCTAGCAGCACATACTGTAGGACTGCTCAGGCTTCCCAAGCACTGTGCCCTGCTTACCTCGCATCCCCCAGTTGACAGCGTTTGTGCTGTCATAGTGGAAGAGTTCAGCGCTGGGGGGCTGCAGGAGAAATGAGCACACAGAGGGGTCAGCACAAGGGGAGTCTAGATAAATACTCAGCCCTTCTATCGCACCTTCCATCTGGGGATCCCAAATCATTTTACAAATGTTCTAATTAATCCATCCTGAAGTAAGTGTCATTCCCCTCATTTTACAGATGGGGAAACGGAGGCACAGTGAGGTGAAATGAATTGCCCAAGATCACATAGTGAGTTAGTGGCAGAGTCAGGAATACCACCCAGCACTCCTGACTCCCAGACTGGGCATACAATCATAGGACCATTTCTAAAGTCCTTGTTGCCCAAAGTTACACAGCAAAGACATCACTCTGGAAAACAAACACCTCCCGACACTCTGAAGCAGAGGTTCTGTTCCCCTGCATCTGAACTCTAGGAATCTGGAAGAGATTTTATTTTCAGGGTAGGGCACTTGCCACTCCTAGATTCCCAGAACTGGGTGAGGCTTTTCTGATCTCTAGTTTCTACTTGGATTCCACACAAAATACACCTGGGAATCTCTGGATGTGTCTTAGCAGAGGTTGAAGCGCCTGGAGGCAGGTGCTATGGCCAGGGTGCCTCTGTTCCAGGAATGCATGTACCTCCAGAAAGAACTCCCCCAATTCTGAGGATCCTGAACCCCAGACTGAGGATTCTGAACCCAGGCACAAAGAGGTTTCAATAGCCATGAGGATACTGCCCTAGAACTGCTCCCCCTCCCCATTTCACAGGAGGAATAGGTACCCCACCTGTGCAGCCACTTGCCCATGAGAAACACTCTGAAACACCGCCACCTAGTGGCAGGTCAGGGGTAGCCAGAGACACTCACCCTGTGCAGCCCGTTCCTTCTGTAGGCAGGGAGGGATGCAGATTTCGAAATGAGGGGATCTGAAAAGAGAAACAACAAACTGCATAATCCCAAGAGCAGGGACTTGTGCCTTAGAAACCCTCAGCTACTGAGCCAAGGCCAAGGCATCTGGTCCCCAAACACAGCTCAGGTTTAACTATGAAGAGGAAGGAGGACGCCTGCAGGGTCTAGCCCAGGTGACGACACTCCCTCATAGCCACAGCATTGGCAGGTGCATCAGAGAAAGGAGAGATGCAGTGCTGCAGCTGGTCCCTTCTGCAGGCGAATGCAGGAGCCCATTGGATACCTTGCCTGGGGGGTGGGTTCCTCTGCACTTTATATTACTGGGTCTACCCTGGCAGGCCCCTGTCCCAGTCACTTCCCTCCCAGCTGAGGGCTGGATACCCCTTGGGGTCCTTGGATTCTGCTCCCAGTGGCTGAGTGGGCTGTTTCCCTGGGGAGTGAGACACCAGGACAGAGACTCAGAGCGCTGAGTCACCTTGGGCCCAAGTGGCAGGCTGGGAGGGGCCTCTCAGGACCTAGAAGACTTTGCTATATGCACTCTGCCTCTCCACCTGAGGTGACAGACACTAATGCAAGAGGCCTCCCATCCCCACTAGGAGCTGGGTACACAGGAATATCACCATGTTCCATGGGGGAAACAGACTCAGGCCGCCTACAATTTTAAGTCGACCTATTATAGGCCAACGTAGGGCAATGCCCACCAACTCTCCTTCTGTTGGTGGTGCACGTCCTCACCAGGAGCACTTCCACTGACTGAAGAGGGGAAGTGTAGTGGGCAGACAGCCAGACTCTCAGCTCTGCACAGCTCCCCGCCAGGAGCCTAGTTGCCCCCTGGGGCTTCTCACCTTCCTACTCCCAGCTGGGAGCAGTGGGGAAGCCGCCCGGGGCTTCTTGCTTCCGGCGGGGAGATCCACATCCAGAGTCCAGTCAGCTGCCATGCTCCCAGTAGGGAGGGAGAAGCTGGGACCCTAGTGGGCAGCAGGGTTCCCAATAGGGACCTGTGTGGAGCTGAGAGCCCGGGGTCTCAGCCCACTACACTTCCACTCTGCAATTGATGAAAGTGCTCCTGGTGAGGATATGCACGACCAGCAGAAGCTTGGAGAGGAGGCCTGGCAGCAGGTCCAGCAAAGCCATGAAATTGACAAGACAGCCAACAGCCCATGTAAGGAACTCAGCATCTGCACAGACCCTGTGTCACCCTAACTACACCGACATAAGCCCTATGCCTCTCGTGGAGGTGGAGTTATGATGTTGATGTAGTAGGGCACTTACATCAGCTGTCTTATGTTGAACTAACTCTGTAGAGTAGAGCAAGTCTGAGAGAGAAGGGACTTACCCAAGATGACAGCAAATCAGCTGCAAAATAGAGACTGGAATCCCGGAGTTCTGACTTCCACTCCCATGCTCTTATGACCAGACCACACTCATTTCTAAAGGAAAAGCCACCCTGGCCTCTCTGCCTGCAGTGGAAAACCCCCTCCCCACCCCACTTTCACAAGGCCTGCAGATGGAGGATCACAGATTGGAAGGGAGGAGGAAGATATACATACCACTGTCAGCTAGGTAATGTGTCCGGGGAGCTGCAATGAGAGACAAAGCAGAAAGTCAGCACATCAGAGGCAGAAAGGCATTTACTGTGATAAAAAGCCCTACCAGGCAAGAGGATCTGGGTTTTCAGAGACCGGCATCCCTCACCTTGCTTCCGTGGCCAAGGACAACCTCACTTCACAGCATTCTCTGCTTCTCCCAGCACTACCCCACCCTCCCTCCCACCGCTTTCATCTCCACAGCATTTACCCTTTCTCTTCACAGCACCTTCCAAGTGAGCATCTCAAAGTGCTTTATGAATATGGGTGAGCTGAGCCTTCCTGCCTGTTGTGGTAACTGGGCCTGCAGACTTACTCTATGAGCTCAGCTATAACAAGTGAGTGGAAGTTTATAAAAGGTCACAATGAGCTGTAACAACAGATCTTGATGGGAACAGGTATGCCAGGGAGACAGAAAGACTGAACAAGTCCACACACAAAGGCCTATTGATCTAATGCAAGGGCTGGGTTAAGCTCATGCGCGATAAACAAGAAAAGTGTGGAACCAGAAATCAGTGAACCAAAATTGGTGTGTCAGAAACTAGGCCTAATTGGTGGACAAAATGAAGGGATGGGCTATTCCACCCGTCACTCCCTTTTGGGGTCCTTAATGAAAGAGACACTGGGGGAAAATTAACTGCTGGAGAGAGCTTCACCATCATGGCTGCCAACCCCACCATATCCTGGACCTTCTTTGTCCTAATTCTGACAGATGTCCTGATCAGACTGGGCCAGAGACAGGGACCTAAATGACACCGCAACTTCCACCAGTTCCAGCCTAATTCCAAATATCACCTGGGATGTGAGATTTTCTCTCTCTTTCCTCCCTGGCATATGTCCTCTTCCTTGCCCATCTAATTTCCTTTCTTTCCTAACTCTCTCCTTTTTAGCTTCTGTCAGGCTTAGCTGGCCAAGACTATGGATTTTGCAACAATGCTGTAAGTCTGTGACCAGAAAGAGGCAGCTAAAAGCAATGCTCTAAACAGCGCAATGCTGGTACGAGTTTTCCAGGTCTCCGATTGGCTGATAAAACCATGTGATGGGCCTGTGTGTCTCCAGCAGAGAGGTTGCAAGTGAAAGTCAGAACCAGAGACAGAAGCTGCATTTTCCATCGTTGCTGTTCTTTTCTCTCCCCTTTTTGTGTTTATCTTGTTTTCTCTTCTCAGGAAATGGGACTGGACTTTAACAACAGCTCCAGCCCATCTCAACTAACTTCTTCTCTTTTACCTAAAAAGGACAGTTATTACCATCTCTCATACCACCTAAGAAACTGTCAAACAAAGTTTTTTTTTTAAAGGGAATGAGGGACGTTGTTAAAATGAAAGCCCAATTTAATATTTGACATTTCAAATGCTTTAACTAGTTTTCCATCTTTTTCTGTATCTTTAATAATGGGTTACTAAGGATTTTTAACAGGGTGTTTGCCATGGTACTAAACAGACTGACTGAAGTCTCTATATACCAAACACCAAACCTTGTTTAACACTGTTTAATGTTGGACAGAGACCGGGTCATGTTAATACCTTTAACTCTCTGTGCCCCTTTATTCCATCTAAATTAATACAAACCCTCCCACGCACATTCCCAGAAGGATTTGCCCTCATTTTACAGATGTGGAAACTGAGGCATAGAGCGAGAAAGGACCACACAGTAAGTTAGTGGCAGAGTGGGGATTAGAACCCAGAGCTCCTGATGCCTAGATTGCTACTCTAACCACTAGACATGCTCCCTCTCTACAAAGGCCTGAGAGCACGGATGCAGTGGGCCCATCCTCCATATCACTATTCGCAGCTCCTGCAGCATCTTGCGAGCTTGGCCACTGGGGCTGAGGGAGGTGGCTCTGCCCATCTGCAGAGGGGAGACTGCATCTGAAGCCTTGACGAGACTGCAGCCTTGGGAAGCTCAGAGCTGCCTTTTAAGGCCACAATTACTCTGGCCATATGGAGAACTGCTAACCTGTCTGTTAACAGTGGCAGCAGGTTCTGCCTCTACTGCTCCCTCCCTCTGAGAGCTGATGCGATTATGGGACCTCAGCCAGAGCAGCAGGGCTTGTGCATGGGCAGGAACCTCCCCCTACTCCATGCCTTATATCCCCTGGCGGACCCGCCTCCAAGCAGCACTGAAATATCCCTGTTTTCAGAGACTGGCACTACTGAGACCCCATAGCGGGCAGGAGCATCACCACCAGAGCAGCCAGCGAACTCCTCCATAGGAACTCAGTCCAACTAAGAGGCCAAATGGAGGATGAGCTGGCAAGTTGGCTACGGTGTCATCTAGTGACCAGACTGTGCAATTGCAGGTGTGTTATTTCTTTGTAGGCCTGAATTTCCCAGTCCACAGAAAATGAAGGTGGGACTGACTGCGTGGCAGCCCTACGAACGGGCACCCCTAACTCACAATGACAAGGGGCTCCCAGAGAAACTCAGCTAAGCCCAATGATCTCGGGAGCTGTATTTGTCTTTGTGTTTGTCATTTCTTTGCCTCATGGATATAGCTATGGGACCAAACTAACACAAGCTCTGGTCTCCTCAAGGCTTCTCCACCATCTAGGCGCTCAAATACCCTAACAGACGGATCTGATGTTATTCTGGCTCCCTGAGGCATTCAAAAAACCAAACACAAGCACCAAATACCTGAAGCATAGACCCAAACACTTGGCCTTGTACACATGCCTAGGGGAGTGTGTGTAAAGGACAGATGGTTCCCTGATGCAGCCAGCAGGGGAAAGAATTGTCCAAGACTAATTTCTTGGGGCAAACTATGTCCCTTACAAACATCCAACCTCTCCAGCCGTGTTGAAAGGCTCTGGTTCAGGTGTCCTTTCTTCCCCACCATGCTAACACCTCATGCCAGGTCGTGCCCTTGTAATGGAAGTAGAAGTGGGAACACAGTATGCGGTGGGAAGAAGAGATAGCAAAGCCAATGGCTGATTTTTGTGATGTGGCCACATAGTCTGAGACCCACCAACTCATTTCTACCCCCCCTCCTCCGGCCACAGAACAGCCCCCTGCTGGGAGAGATTGCTGGCCAGCCCCATGGATCCTTTCACGCTCACATGGCTGGATCCGATCCAGCCTGTGTACATCTGGGCATTGGGGGTGAAAGACTGTTTATCTCATTCACAACCCCAAACGTCAGCCAGCTCCCAACCAATTAGAAACCACAAGCTCTTCATCTTGTGTGATCTGAGAAGCCTGCCCGCTGCTGCTATGGTGCTCTTCGCATTCCTTACAGCCGTTCAGTGAGCTCTCGTAGCCGGCTGTGTGCAGGGCCTCTCTGCTACCGGCTGAGCTGCGGGGCGGCGTCCAGGGGTCAGCGTAAGAATTGGATCGAGCCTTCATCTCTTCCTTCAGGATCAACCTGCCGATGCCGCTCTGGATCTAGGCACCGCGAGGGGAGACGGAAAGGAAAACGCTTCAGACATGGACGGGAAGTTCTCTGCCAACCAACAGCGGCAGCACAGCTGCTGACATTACCACGGCAGCATCACCCCATCACGGTGTCAGCACACAATGCCACTAATGCTGGAGTTTGCTGGTCCTGCACTCAGAGCAGGTAAGGCCAGCCCTCCCTATGGTTCTCACATCCAACCCAGCACCCAGCCAGCAAAGAGGGCTTGGTGCCCCTTGGTGAACACATTGGCTCCTTCCCCTCCCCAAGCAACACCTGCCCCATATGGCAGCTCCACCCTCCCCCTGGTCACATTTCATAGGAGAGGGTTCTTAGCCAAAGTCATTAGGTCTGTGGGTGTCTGTGCAAGGAAGGAGAAAGTCCATGAAGGGAAGGAAGGCACCAAGGAACAAGTGGGCCTGGGCGACCTAGTGCACCGGCTTCCCCTGGAAAGGCCTGAGCCTGGAATGGAGGGGCCCACAGCATGTAGACGGCACAAGACCCACTCCTGGGGCAGAAGCATCTGGAAAAAGCAGATGTCACAGATTTACCCCAGCTGTGATCTCCGAACAAGGAGATTGGGCCAAGGCAGTCTTTCCTGGCTCTCTGCCACGATCCCTGCCAGGGCGTGTGGCCTCCAACCTCGCCACCAGCTCTCCTCTTGTCTCCTCTGTTGCATTTCTCTCTCAGGGGAGGAGTTGAGAGGAGATACCAGTGGGTCAGGGATGAGACAGCCACTTACCTTGTGCATCCCCTGGTCAAACCCGTCCTCTTCTCCCCCTGATGAGAATCTGCGGGCTCGCGGTGCTGCAAGGAGACAGGGGGCAGGCCCAGTCAAATGCACAACATGGACAAATACAAACAGCAGGCAGACACCGAGGCGGGATTGCTAGCGCTGGGACCCAAGGTGAATGTGCATGGCAAATAATCCAAAGGCTGAGGGGACTGCAGGTCCTAAATGAGTCATCATCTTCCATTGGTGCCTACCCTTGATTTAACTTACATGCCCTCAGCACTGGGCCTTGCCTGGGGAATAAGGGCTCAAAGTCAACTCCCTCCCAGAAAATGACACATGCAGAGGTTGTTATTGGGCTTCCTGTGGCCTTGGCCGCACCCAGGGCAGGTCTGGGCTCCCTGCATTACCTTTGGGTGAACCTTGGAAAAGCCAATACTCGGACTCCGAGTGGTAGTATGGGTCCGGGGAATAGGCTGGGCTGTATTTGGAGGACTGTGCAATGTCTTCGCTGGTTTTGCTTTTGGTGGCTGCAGGTGGATTGTCTGCAAAAGCAACAGATCGTGAGATTTAGGAAGGAAACCCAAGTTCTGGAGGAGATGCTGTCAGCATCACCATGGCTGTCCCACACAGACAACCAAGTGCCTCCCAACTCCAGTAAGTGGAGCCCCCTCAGCTGGCTTCAGTTTGGAGAGAACAGTTTGGAGAGAACAGCTTCTCCCCAAAGCCTGAGGGGCCAGGTATGTCCCCCAAGTAAAGGGCAGCCAATGGAGGTAGTGATCTGGCTGAGGCTGTTGGGTCACCCAACGGACCTGGAGATCCAGCGGGGGGTGTGGCACATCCCCCTGCTCCACTCTCCCCAGTGGCTTGAGGTCTCCTGTCCTGATTGGTAATAGTCCATGGTCAAAGTGCTGGACAAACATTAACTGATCACACCTCGCACTGCCGGGAGGTCAGTAGCATCACCCACATTCTACAGATGGTGAAGCGGGGGCACAGAGAGGGGAAGTTAAGGTCATGCAGCAGGGCAGTGGTAGAACTGGGAACAGAACCCTGTAACTCCCAGCACCCAGCCCCAGGCTCAGTTGCACACAGCAGCTCTGTAGAGAATCGGTCGGAATAGGTTGCCAACCATTCGGATTGTCAGGGCTCTGTCCCCTGCACTCCACGCCAGCCTTGCATCTTGCTCTGAGTCCACGGCGCTGAGGTGCAAATGCCATGACATCATGATGCAGAGCCTTTGGCTGCCAGGCTGAGTTACAAGGTAGCCACCAGGATGGTGCCGATCCAGAGCCCACTGTGATGCTGGCTGGTACTAATTTCTTACTCTTCCTCTTCAACCTACAATTTTCCTACTGCACCAACCAAGGAAGCAGGAAAACACTAGTGCTACTGAGACCAGCTTCTCCTCCCTCCCTAGGTAACCTCACCCCAGGAATTCAATGTCATCACCAGAAAAGGGCAGTAAAAGTGCCCTGGGGACTTTTTGAGCCTGAGCAGAGATCCAGAGGCAAGGGGCACAGCCCCGGGACAGGGCAGAGGGAAGGCGTGAGCTTCCCAAAGGGCATGTTTGAAGGGATGGGGGAGGTGACGTGGTGGGTTTTGTGTGTGTGTGTGTGTGTGTGTGTAAGGGGAGCCCCATGCACAATGTTGTTGGCTCTAGTTACAGCCATGAATTCAGGCCCACAGCTCCTGTGCTGAAGAGCTACAGCCCGCAGCAGCAGTGGGATGGGGTCACCCCTCCGTGCACAAAAGGACACTAGGTTGGCTTCAGGCCAGACGGCCAAACGTTGGAGGCTCCTGCTCATACGGTTAAGAAAACAAAATGGCTGCCTCTTCAGAACTAATCTCTTCCTCAGCAAGCACACGAGGGGCAGAGAGCACCCCGGCAGGATTGCTGCCACCTGGGCTTATGGTGAGCTCAGAGAGACGGTGCCAAACTCAACCTCAAGGCCTGGCCAGCTAAAAGTGCTCAGAGCCCCCCAGTAACATGCCAGGGGTCAGTCCAGAGAACATGGCAAAGGCAGCTACTTACAGCGCAGAGGGGTGCAGACAGTCAGCAGGGGGCGTTAAGGGTGTTAGGCAGACAGGACAGGAGAGACGCACGGAGGGAGAAAGGAGAGACAGAGTTACGGTTTCACAGGAAAAGCTGGTACACGAAGCAAGTTGGTGAGCACACAACAAGTCCTCCTCAGCAAGGGCCTGGCTGGTGCCAGGCGCCCTTGTGCCACCTCCCCAGACATCTCCCACTCCCACAACCCCAGCCCTCACCGGGGTTCACTCTCTCCAGGTTACCAACACTCTCTTTCAATCTGTAATGTCCGCTTGGGACGGTCAGGGGTTTTCAGGAAGTTGGGATTCCCTTTTTAGTTTTTTCCAGGTAATTTATATTACGGCTAGTGTAAAAAAAGCACTTTCTGCTCACTCCTCTCTCCTCACAGTTCTGCCAGTGCACCCTGACCCGCAGCACACCTCTTATTCCAGCCCTACGCTCTGCTGTTAATGCCCTTCAGGCTCTTGACCTGCAGCACCCTCTCATCCCCTGCCATTCCAGTCCCTGTCCCCCCCATACTCTGACACCATCCCTCAGTCCTGACCTACAGCACCTGCTTTCCCAGCTTTGGCAACTGCTGAGCACTGGAGACAAATATCCAACCTGGTGTTATATTTGAGGAGGGGATTGAACCTCCAAATGACAGGTAAGCAGATAGATCTCCTGTGCCACTCAACTTCTCACTCCTACCTCCTGGGCTTTTTGCTGAAGGCAATGTGAAATGTCACAGCTTTGTGCCTGCACTAAATCCCACGCCCGAGGAAATGCCGCCACCACCTTTGCCAGCACCTCCAGCCTTTCTCGCCACCTCCTCCTGTGCCTGCCAGGGCATCCCCACAACCTAACCCTCTGCCTAACAATGCCATTCCCCTCTGTCCTAGATTAATCTTATCTTGGTCTCAAACCGGTGAGAATCTGGAGTAACCCTGTCCTAGTCCAAGAAGTTACTCAGCAGCGTAACTGGTCCCTAATCTCTGTCTGGCCCTTCCGATGTCAGGACTATTAAGTAATTGGCAATCACCCCAAAGCAACACTCAGACTATACCGTGTCGTTTATAGATGGGGGGTTTCCGGTAGATGTTACTCTCTCCGGCAGCTGGAGAAAAGAAAAGAAAAGAAAAGAAAAGAAGACATGGAAGTCAGTGTGTGTTTGCTGGGAACAGTGGATATGGAGAGGGCATGGAAGAGGAGGTGCAAACCCCCAGTCACTCATCTGTTACGTTCAACGTTTTTCACCTCCATGGACTTTAAGCAAAAAAATGCAACCTAATTCCAAGGCATTTCATCAAAGATGGATCAGTGTCTGGTTTGACTTCTGAGGTGGGGGAGAAAGAGGGTTAAACCTGTTTTGGAAGCTAAGCACCCGTATACTATGGTGATGGGTGCTACAGAAAACCCTAGGGTAGAGAGGTCGTGTGTGTGCTAGAGGACATGCAGTGAACATGCTGAGTGTTAACACCATGCACTGACAGAATGGCAGATGCTTCTTCTTCCTGTCCCCACTGTTGGCTCTTCTCAGACAAAGGTGTCTTGGAGGGGAAGAGGGAGAGGGGACACCTAGAGACCCAGGATCTGGGGATACGTCTCTGTCAGTCAGCCCCATGGAGTGGTTACTGATGGATTTTCAGGAGGGAGATCATTTCTTGGGGGTGCAGGCATCTAGAAGAACTATCCATGATCCACCTGAGAGCAAACCAACATCATCAGCCAAAGCCTCTTTCAGCAAGGGAAATAGAGCTAGCTGGGAAGGGGAAGCAACCTGGAGACTGTGCCTATAGCTACCCTACCAGCGCTAGGGCCTATCAGCTGAGCTGGCGGAGCAGGGATGGGGCCATCCATAAAAGACATCAGCAAACGGGCAGGGGACCACATATAGCTGTGGTGGTGGGGTGGCCAGACAGGGAGAGGGTGGAGATAGGGCCATTGCAAGGAGCATGGGACCCTGCAGGTGTGTGTAGAGCTGGTCACCATGGTGGTGGATGCTGCCATGGATTGGTTACATGGGCAAGCATGAGGAGAAGGCTGTGAGGCTGCAGCTCCAGTCCAGGCCCTTGGTATCTACCTTGAGAGATGCTAATTCTGCACTGTGTATGTGCATACTAAAGGTGGCCTGGATTTTTTAAACACCTCCCGCAAAATCTGGGTGCCTTTGGTCCCAGGTCACCAGCTCGGCCCACTCTAGAGACAGGGGCTAACTGCAACATAAGGAATCTAGGTCTGCAGTCAGCACCCCACCACCCAAGTCTGGGGGTTTGGTTCAGGCCCATCTTGAAGGTGAACTTGAGAGCCAGTTAAATGGCTTTAGAAGGGGGCACAGGTCAAGGTCCCTTGAACTTATTAGGGTGGGTTTGCTTTACGTGGACTGAGTGGATAGTTTTGGATTTGACGAATGGTCCAGTCTGTCCCTGTGACTGCAGCTGGGAGGGGGAGTGAGTACCTTCTTGCTGCCCTAATGCGTATCCTGAAGAAGTGGGACAGGTGCTTGTTTCCCTCCCAACCCCTCCGAAGATCTGTGGATGGATTGAGGGGGCAGTGGGCCTTACCTGGTGGCCCCCTGGAGTCCCTGCTGGAGGGGAGCAGCCATCTGGCAAGCCCAGAAGACTCTGGGGGAAGGGTGCACCGGGCCCTAGGGGGAGTAGGAGGAGTATAAAATAAATCATCTGTAAAGAATGGGTATAGAAAAGGTTCTAATCAGAAAAGCTTTGCCTTGTGATCTGCTAGGGAAGGGAGGGCAGGGTCCTTGCAGGGAATTTCACTTTGTGGGGGGCAGGAGGCAGTGGGAAATGGCAGGGGAAGGTATAGCAGACTCTGGACGATGGGAAGTTTAGGTGGGGTTAAAGCTGCAGGTCTTGTTTATGGATGGCCTTTACCGTAGGACGTGTCCTGCTGCTGCTAGCTGACTGTAGGCAGGCAGTGGTGCTACTCATGCGATACACACATACAGCACATACATGCATGCAATAGACACAGTGCTCCCCACAGGCCGGAGGTCTCCAGAGCCTACCTGGAATGTGGAAATGCTTGGGAGCTTGGTATGAGGTTGGAGTAGAAGACCTCACATCTAACTGGCTATAGTAGGGGGAGCTGCGCCCACTCTCTGTGCCTGGAAAGTGCGGATCAGAGGGAGTGACAGTGATTGAGAGAGAACAAGAAGCAGAAGAAAACTGGTGTTAAATGCAGCCATGTTAGAAGAGCAGCAAGCCACGTGTGAGTCAATGGCTGGGGAGGAAGGAAGGGATGGATGGATGGGGGTGAGGTTTCCTACACACGTCGTGAGGGAGGAACTCAGGGTTTATAGACAGGGGTAGACGGGAACCAGAGGGAAATCCACGGGTGCATGCCATTCAGGGGCCTAGCCCAGAACCCATTGCAGGGGCCCCAGACTCCTGTCCAGGATTCCCCTGTCATTCTCACTGGTATGGCAGTCTTTGATGGCGACTGTGCTAAGAGCTTTATCTACAAGGGTTGGAGCCTTACTGAACAACACGGCGGGGAAACCAGTCTGCCAGACTCATCTCTCTCTGGGTTTTCCTGCCCATCGCCTCTCCCCTCAGATTTCAAGGTACAGCTGTGCCCTGCTTCCTCACCCGAAGATGGGCTAGCCGGGGTGTGTGTGAGGAGTCACCCCCCACGTTGACAGGTACATGCATTCTGATGCATCCCTCGCTTCCCACGATAAGCAAGTCGAGCATCAGCTGCACCTCTAGTTCCAGTGCCGGCATGGAGCCACCATCTCGGATTTTCTGTAGTGATGGGGCGACGCTGTGACTGAGTTGGTTATGAGACAGGAGGAAGGCCTCAGGGAGCGGAATCGGCTGAATTGGATTGTGCATGAGGCAGCCAAAGGCAGGTCACTCCACTCTCTCCGGCACACACACCTCAGAGAGGAAATCCCCCTTCCCAGCATCCTACAGGCACTGTCGAATTTAACTCCTCCTTGTTCGGAGTTGGGATTTCCCCAACATGACTTGTGCTGCTGCCAAAGGGATGGCCGAGGCCTCCGGGAGAGGCGTGCGTGTCCTTGTGATCCCAGAACGCTGCTCTGCTGCTCTCCACTGGCTGTTTTAACCTGGGCCAGGCCTGGTGGGGGGTGGGCCAGTGTCCTTACCTGAGCGGTAGTAATGATGTGGGGAGCGTGGGATGGTGGGAGACATGCCCTGGCGGCTGTAGGTGGGGGAGTCGATGTAGCCCGGGCTGGAGGCCCGTCTCTGTCGTATGTCAATACTTTCATAGATATCCTGGATGGGTGAAAGGAGATGTGAATAAAGGGCATGGGTCGGAGAAGGTACATGCGCCTCAGGCTGTGGGGCATGGAGATAGCTGAAACAAGGCCTCATAAAGGAGTCATAGAGTGGGGGAAGGAGGTGTTTGTATAGGCAGAGTCACAGCTTTTCAGGAAGGCAGGGTCTTCTCTTTCCTTCAGGGAAACTTCTCCCCTCCCCCCATGGCAGCCAGGGTCACTGACTCTTCTCAGCTTGGACAGGGTAAAGCCTCTGTGATGTAAAGGTGCAGTGGGTGTGGTGAGCTGGGTGGTGCACAGGCCTGTGTGTGGCTGTGGAATGAGTGTACAGTGCAAAGCAACCATCTGGCACTTAGAGACAACAAGTCATGCATCTCCCATGTGAGCTCTGCTCCTCTCAGCATGCATGGGGCTTAACAGAAATAGCTATCTGGAGTCGTGTGTGTCCCCTGCAATGGATCTTTGCAAGCAGAGCCGCTGAGAAATACCACATTCCCATTATTTGGTGATTTGACTTTCTTGGTGCCTGGAGAATTCCCTGTTTGTTCCCCTCACAATGTCCCCAAAAGCGTGATGCTTCCTCCTCCACCCACTGCTTTGGCCAAGGAGGACTGGATGCAGCTCTCTCCAGAAACTGTCAACATTGCTCCAAGATGCAACTGATGGGCCCACCTTTGTGTAACAAAGATCTCCCCCCTCTTACATCAGGGCTGAGCACCCGGGCCCTGTTCCCTGTTCCACAGCAATCTCAGGAAAGCATGGCAGGACTGTCGGGCTGGCACTGCAGTCCTAACTTGAAGAAAGCAACTTCCAGTAGAATTACTGCTTTAGCATCACAAGCCAAATTCACTCTCGGAGTAATTCCACTGACTTCAATAGAGTTACGCCAAGAAGGGATTCAGCCCAACAACTGCCTCCATTCAGAAACTGCATTGTCAGGCCTGAGGGGTCCCCTTGGTCTAGCCAAATCCTTCAGTTATAATTCCATGCAGGTCCCACCCACCTCCAGCCTTGTGGTCCCAGAGGTCTCCAGAACACAGTGTGCTTACCTGAGAATATGGAGACAGCGTTCCAAGGGACTGGAGGGGGCAGGAGGACCAGAGACAGCGCAGGAGGGAGAGAAGAGAGAGGGACATGATGAATGGTCAATGTGACTGACCCGGACCTCATAGCACTTCATCTGCCCAAAATTACAGCCCTCTTAGTAAAACCACAACCTCATTAAAATGGCCAGGCACTGAGGGAAGCCTGTGGAAGAGAAGGCTTTATCACTGGGAAATACATAGCACCCTGTCCCTCCACCTCAGCCACTCTGAGTCCAGGCTGGAGTGCAGCGGGGCTGCTTTGATCCCATCCAGCCACTGCTCCAGGAGAAATGCCTGGTGGAGGAACTCATGGGAGCAACTCATTTCTCCCCCATCTCCTGGGGAAGGGAAGAAAGACTTTGGGGGAATTCTTCAGCTTCTTTCATTTGATGCAGAATATCCCCCTTCCCCTTCACTGGAGCTGGCAGGCAGGTGCTCCCATGGCCACGCTGGTATTTGCCTCATGCTGGGATACACAGTGTATGGGAGAGTGAAGCCATCCAAGCTTGGCTTTCCCAGTTTGGAAACAACTGAAACAACCAGCCCTTGGAGCCCGTAAATCAACCCCTTGCCTGCTCGTGTCTACGGAGTCTGACCTGTTCACAAAGTGCCCAGCTCTGCATGCTTGTAGCAAGACTCCAGATATAATGCTAAGTCCAAGAGGGTCCTGCTCTTGCCAACCCAGACCCTAGCGTTCAGAGGGGATTTCTCCTCTCTCCTGACTGTCTGAGTTTCACATACAAATGGTGACATTACAGCAGCTGCACAGATGAGGAAGGTGAGGAGAAATGCCCTCAGAGGATGAGAAGGAACAGAAACCTGGGAAGCTCCAGATGCGAATGTCTGGCTATGAAAGCGCCTCGCTGATGCGTCCCTTGGAGCTGGTGAAACAGCCACCACTAACTCAATGGGGAGGATAAAAACAGATGGGAGCTAAGCGAGGTCAGCTGGGTTCACAGGAGACACCATCCCACTATGAAACACAGCCTCGTGACCTACCATGCACATACAGGGGTCAGAAGATGCCACCAAGAGCAGCACTGGGCTGTCTGTACAACACACTGAAATTGCATCAATCCAGGGGTTTATACCAGACAGCAGCAAATACAGCAAGACCCACCCACAGCAAAAGGTTCCAAACCCCACCTCACAGCGTTGTGAGCCCTCGGTAACAGCATGTTGCTGAGCCATCTGACGGACAGTAGCTTCCCATGCTACTTCCCAGAGGGCTCTCTGTTGCCCTCTCAGTTGCACTATCCCCTGGTGTTGGAGGTCTGTGCCACTGCATGCCATCTCTGTCTGTGTCATAGGCCAGGTCGCTGTCCACAAGAGGCCCTGACATGGCAACCTGCATTCTCTGCTTTATCCAGAGATCATTTGTAGGCGCAGCTCATATAGATGAAAGGCTGCAGAGCCCCCAATGTACAGTGCTGTAGAGCGCCTCGGGGCAGTTGCCTTAGCCAGCTCACAAGCCAACCACCCTTAGACCTGGAACAAAGACACAACTGAGAAAAAGCAGAGGTGCAAGGAATCCAGAAGCCAGCAGGGGTGTTTTCTTAGCTTCCCCTGTATGGTGCTTTCCAGAATCCAGGGACCCATTCTCCTCTTGCCTACACCAGTTTTACACTGTGGAATGTCAGCGACCTCCATGGACTAAATCTCAATTTACACAGGTGTAAGGGAGAGAAGAACCAGGCCCTCAGTGCCCCAAGGCCCTGATCTGAGGCCATTAGGAAAATCAACACAACACAGTGAGCCTGTGTCCTGAGCTATGCTTCACGGGCAGGTGAGAGCCCCATACAGCTCTAGAACACTGCACACAAAGGACAGCGTCACTGCTCCCACCTTGGTGCAGAGGGCACAGACAGCGGAGTGCTCTGGATGGATGGCTCATGATGAACCCTGGCACCTGCTTCACACTGGAGATTTCAGAGAAGTTGTTGCCGGTTATTACAAAGGCCTCTTCTGTGACTATTTTAAAGGGCCCAGTTTTGCCCTCAGCTTCTGCAGTCCTCAGTGGGAGCTGGATCAGGCAGGACCTGGCTTCCTTTCAGGTCAAATCCATGCACTCATCTCCTTCCCATTTAAGTGGGTGAAATTGTCCAGCAGTCCCAGTCCTACCTCCAGGAGTAGAGCAGAGGACGTGCCATGCCAAGGGCTGTGTTGGTTTCATTCCACACAGCTCTTTCTAATATCCCCGTGGACATGGACAACACCATTCAGCTCCCTGCCCCCTTCCCCTTCCCATCCAGTGGAGGCAGCGTTAGATAAGGGCTGTCCTGCCTAGGCCCTTGCTCTGCGGACACTGGTGAGGCTTCCCTGCAGCAGGCCATCTGGTGACACTGTCCTACACCCCATGTAAGCAAGGGAGCGTGCCCTTTGGAAAAGGGACTGCTGGGCAAATAGCTGCAGTTAAGGATCAGATTTTCAACAGCACCATTTGGTGCGTGAGCAGTTCAGGTGCCCGTAGAGTGATCCTGCTGCATATCTGTCCTTATAGTCTATGCTGGGGCTGAGGGTTATGCGGCGACACCCTTTCCCCCTCATTCATTTCCTGGGCTCAGATGGACTAGGGGACATTCCCCAGAGGAGCCATTCCTTGGGGCTGCCTTTCTCCCCAAAACACTCCCTTCAGATTACGTGGTGTGGCCATCGCTAATGGCCTCCATCAGCATGGGCAGCCTCGTAGATTGTGGCTAACTGATGCTGTAGCAGTTTTCTGGCTCTCAATCTTGTGGCCCACAGTGGAGGAGGCTGGAGCCAACGCTCCTGTCCCGGTCCATCCTGGATTTCCAGACGACAGACAAGAATCCTCCTTGGAGATGTTCTAGGCCAGATTCTGTTCTTGGTTCCCCCACTGTAAATCTGAAGTAACCCCACTAATGCCAATGGAGTTATTCAGGATTTACACCCACCGAACTGTAATAAGAATCTGTGTCATCCCACCCACCACCCCATAACCCTCATCAGATCCTGAGGTCCCTGTCTGCAAATGCTAAGACTCAGTACCTCCCCATAGCTATATCTCTCCAGCGTCTCGTCTGATGTGTATCTGTGATAGGGCTCGTAGGAAATGAGGTCGGGACGCTGCACCTCGTAGATGGCTTTAATCTTGGGAAGAGCTGCCAGGTCTTTGTAATTAAGGATCTCATTATCCACTTTAGCCTAGGAGAGGGAGAGACAGAGGCAGAGAGATGGAAACAGAGAGAAAGATGAGGAAAAAGGGAAAGGGAGGCTGGAATATACAGTGTGAAGCTCTCATCAGAGCAAACTGATGTGTCACCACAGGAAAGGGAAAAATGTAAGGAGATGTCCTCATGAGAGGCACAACATTCTCCCAGGATGAGAAGAGGCTGCAGTGGGGAAAGGGCTGGGTGGATTATGGTGTTCAACTGCCTTGGCAATACTCTTCCGAGATCTCCCGTTCATCACAGAGGGCCTGCTGAAGTCAAGGCAGACAGACACTAAGGGTAGACTTACCCCCCAAGACCCCTTTCCCATCCCCATCACTTGCATTGCAGATTGGAACTGAGAACCCGCTGCTCCCAACCTGATCTGTGCAGGGAGATCTCCTCCTCCTGTCCCCGCTGGAACACATGGAGCCACCCTTTCCCCATCACATTGGAGACTGTGCGGCAGAGCTGTACTTACACAGATGACTCGGTTGGGGGAACCAATACTGGAACCAGGGGGTGAGATGGAGGTTTCTGATGTTCTTCTGTGCTGTGTGCATAGAAAACCACAAACTGGTTCAGAACTGAAGCTGACCATCATTCAAATCATGGAGACTGAGGGACCAAATCCAGCCTTGGCACAAGGCAGGCATAACGCCATTGAAGTCAATGGAATTTCACTTGCTTATATCAGGGCTGAATTTCCCCCCACTGTATAACTCCAGGACAAGGACAGCACCCCCAAAGTCCCCCACACCCCCAGCAGCAGGCTATAAACCTGTGAAACTGCCCAGCAATGCCCTCTGTACTCCCTCCTAACCACTAAGATTGTTGTATATCGGCATTCTGTCTGGGTTCGCATAGTCCAAATGTGCAGTTCTCTTTAATGGCCAGATTCAGATCCAGCGAGACAGGCCCTGCCCATTAAAATCGAATGATTCTGAAAGACATGTAGCATGTTGTCTGCTGGTTGCAGACACAGATGCCGCTGTTAATCATACCTAATGGTAACTGAACAGAGCAGCAGTGAGTAAGTGCAATACAGGCTAGAGAACACTAGAGGGAACGTGGGGCAGGGCTTGGAAGGGAGAAGAGGCAAGAGGGGGGAGGACTGTTACAATCTTTGGGTTTGCTTCCATAAAAAGTTTGTTTCTAGTGAGGACTTCAGTCCTTCAGACCAACCCCCACAACGGCCTGTCAGTGAATTGGCAGGCATGGTTTATTCCGGCATTGCTCTGGCATCTTGCACCACAACCGACAATGCATGTTCAATGTGCACCTGAGGACTGTGAGCATGGTCAGCAGCCTTGCCATGGACAAAGGCCTCCCAGTGCTTCTTCTGAACGGCGCACAAAGAAGAGGTTTGAGCAGGCCAAGTCATCAAACTTTCCAGCAGGATAGAAAGGCGCTTTACGGCAGCTTGCATCCTGCAGTATGGCTGTCAAGCTGTCACTGAGACAGCAGGGAAGCAAGGGACTGATCTGGCTTATCCTGATGTTATGAAGGGTGCAGAGGCAGGCAGCTTTGATGGGTCATATGGTGACTGCTCTCCTGGCCTGGAACATTCCTGGGTTTGTGTCTACCTACAATTTAACAATCGGAACAAACAAACACCCACTAAAGCACAGAGAGGCTGGCCGGTCTCTGACTCTGTGGGCTGGGCCTGGAAGCATCTCTCCGCAGGGGAGGAGGAAATGCCATATGGAGTATGGGGGAATGATGCCTCCTCACACTGCTCAACAGCACTCCCTGCAGACATTTACAGAGCTGCAGCTGCTCTTCAAATGGTGTCCTGCCCATGACTCACCATGGCTAGAAGGATGATGGCTGCAATGCAAAACCTCTGAGGCGGGAGGGGGATCCTCAAAGTTCTGGGTTGCAGAGGACCCTTTGGAAAGCAGGAGGCTGAATGTGCTGACCCTTGGGCCAGGGTCTTGCAGTGTTTTTGGTATGCCAGGTCCCCCTCAGTTTGGGTCTTCCCCCCATAACTCATTTCCAGCCAGGGACCAGAGCTCTCAGGGGCACTTTCAGAGATGTCTGGTTGTCTTGGAGGCACACTGGAACGTGCTTCTGGCCCAGCCACCTGTCACAGAAACTCCATCATGAACGTCTGATGCTCCAGCTTACCTTCAATTTCTTCTCTGCCCTCGCTGCCTGTTTGCAGATCGGGTGCCACACTTCAGAACCTGAAAGCCAGGAGAACAGCAGAAGATCAGAGCCTTTCAACTCTCCACTGGAGAGACAAACTTTCCACTCACAGTCAGAACCAGATGTAATAGTACCCCTTCATCCTGACTGTCAGCACACCCAGCTAGCTTAGTCCTGGACCTGCAAGCAGCTCTGCAGATGCACTTCAATCCTGCCTTACAACTGTCCTCACTATTATAGTGCTGGATCCTACAGCTCCGCTGAGAATTCCCAAACCTGGCCTGCAGCATCTCCTGCTGTTCCAGTACTGGGGTTCTTGGGAGCAAAGCCTGGAAGTCATATGCATCTTTTAGAGCAGGATTCTCAACCAGGGGTACGCATAGCCCTGGGGTACACAGAGGTCTTCCAGCATCAACTCAGCTAGATATTTTCCTTGTATTACAACAAGCTACATAAAAAGCACTAGCAAAGTCAGTACAAACTAAAATTTCATACGATGACTTGTTTATGCTGCTTTATATACTATACACTGAAATGTAAGTACAATATTTATATTCCAATTGATTTATTTTATAATTATATGGCATAAATAAGAAAGTTAGCAATTTTTCACTCATAGCATGGTATGACACTTATATTTTATGTCTGATTTTGTAAGCAAGTTGTTTTTAAGTGAGGTGAAATTTGGGGTACACAAGAGCAATCAAACTCTTGAAAGGGGCACAGTAGTCTGGAAAGATTGAGAGCCACTGTTTTAGATTGTCAGCTCTTTGGGGCAGGGGCTGTTTTGAGATCTGAATCTTGTACAGCACCAAGCACATTGTAAAACAATGAACAGGGATGATAATGTTCCTTCAGAATTAGGAGGAGACCAGCAAATTCCTTTCACTTGTGATGTAAACTTGAACTTGAATCCAGGTCTCCACAGATAACAAGCCAGTGCAACATCCCCCTCCTACACGTATGGGTCTGTCAATGGGAGACCCTGTGAGCCTGTAAATGGTGCGAGTCTACATCAAATCACCAAGACATTCCAATGGAGCCCTCACTGATGGAATACTGAGTGAGACTTAGACAGCATAGCTGCACAGCTGCTCCCGGATGGGAGGAAAGCGACAGGCACCCAGGCCCAGCAATGTCTTTGTTAGTCTTTGATTTGTCAGGTTTATTGACTTTCCTGGGCACCTTCTATGTTATAGTGTGGCCACAGGAATGTCCTTGGACTGGGGCTGATGGATAGGAGGGCAAGGCAGAGGCACTGGACCAGTGCTGTAATATGATCTTTTGTGCCTCAAAACAATGCATAAGTCTTCCTTTCCAATCCATTGCAGCCTCTCTAGCTCCCAAAGCCTGAGATTACTGGCTGTTAAAGGTCAGTGTAAGCTCACAGATCCTCGGTTCTCTTGGCTACATAAGTCATTCACTGTTGAATCTGATTGTGCGGATGGGTCGATAGAAGACTAAAACACCACCAGACAAATGCCAGACAAATAGCTCACCTCAGAGGTGAAGGAACAGATTATTTAAAAATAAACTTTCAAACAGAAGAAAGGGAACTTGCAGGTAGAAAACTGACAGAAACAACAAACCTCAACTGGAAAGTCCATTCCCCATTTACCTACCTACCAGGACCTGTGTTCAGGATTCCGTGCTTTTCCTGGAAACAGCGGAGCATTGTCCTGCCCCATCCCTGCTTTACGTGGCCATATTGGAATCAGCTGTTCCTGGGGCAACACAGAATCTTGAACTCAGGTCTTGGCTGGTAACGTTAGACGTTCACCTGTGAGATCAGGAACCAGCCCCCAAGGGAATTCAGGATCAGAGTCAAGGTGAGAACGTGGCTGTAGCAGCCCCAGACTGGGCATGTACCCAACACAATCGATCCGATAGTCCTGGTTCATAAATTATCAATGCCAGAAAACCAGACCCCTTCTCTTCCTTCACCCATTTGTTGGTGTCACATTTTGGGCCCCTGGATGCCATGATAGCACCGGTCTGTCACAGGCCATGCATTAGGGATGACAGCCAGGTGCAGAGCTTTCATAAAACATCCCTCCCTCTCCACCAAACAAGGGGCACTCTTCTGGGAGCATGCTGGCTGACATTCCAGCGTGACACTAACAGCATGGCCACTCCCCTGTATTCGTGCCAACACGATTAGCATCTCACGGAGGAGTCAGTCAGCCCCGGGCAGAGGGCTCCTGCTACAAATCCTGCAGTGTGAGAGTGGGAGGGACCCAGCCCTGCAATTACCCCTCAGACCTACAGGGGTAATTAATGACTCAGGGCGACAGGCAGCTGCAGGTTACCTAAGGGAAAACACATCCTCCCTCAGAGCTGGAAATAGCCCCAAAGGCAGCTTCAGCGGGGGATGAACAACTCCAGAGACCCGATTATTTATTTCCTTCTTGCTGAAACCAGTCAAGCACACTACCTGTGCTGCATGGCTTAACCCCTTCAGAGCCGCACTCAGCAGAACGTGGAAACAGAGGAGGGTTGGTTTTGTGGTTAAGGCACTGGCGTGGGACCTGAGAGATCTTGGTTCAATTCCAAGGCTCACTGTGAGAGCTCAGACATGTTCCTTAAACCAACAGTGGCCCGTGATTGTGTGTGTCTGTTTCTTAAGTTGGGCACCCAAAACTTGTGGCCATTTATGAAAACACTGGTCCTGTTCTCTCTGTGCTTCAGCCTTCCCACTGCAAAATGGGAACAAGGAGGCAGCTCCTTACCTCACAGGGGATGGCGAGGGCTAACCTCTGAACAGTGTGAAATGCTCTAGACACTACAGTGCTGGAGGGCCAAAGAAGTTCCTAGATCGGTGGCTCTTTAGCCATGGCTGGGAATCCCCCACCTGGCTCAATGATCCCCAAAGGGATCCAGTGGGAGATTCTCTGACACCATTGGAACACAGCTAAACTTGCATTAACCACAAGTTAGCAACAGCTCTGGAGATATGATTGCATGAGCCAGCCAGGACTGAGCCTAATGTGATAGCCACTCCAGAGGGCTCTTCTGGGGCAAGTCACCACAGGGATTTCGACTCCTAGTTCGCCTGCCAATTTCCATCTGCTTGCTGTGATTGGGGTAACCCCACTCCCAGTTCAGTTCACTGCATTGCTGGTTTAGCACGCAACACTAGTGACCATCGGCTGGGGGAGATTTGTACAAGGCCACACTCCTGACATTGCTGGGCTCAACAAATTATGTTACAGGCAGAGTTCAGTGACAACAGATCTGTGGGGCACAGAGGAGGTGTTAATCTGCCCATCCCACAGCCTGAGCTTTCTCTCTGTGGCGAGGGTGTCCATACCTGTGAGGTACATCTCCTCCCCTTCCGTGAACATCTGGTGGCAGCGGACGCATCTGGCACAGGTTGGGTGGTAGTGCTTCCCTCCTGCCTACAAACAAGCAGAGGAAAATGGTTCCTAAGCAAGCAGAAGATGCAGATACACTTTTGTCTCCATTCCTCTGAGTGTGAGCTGCCCAGTCCCCTCCACACTCCTTTGGCTTGCAGTGCAAAACACAAAGCAAGATGAAAGAGCCTAGCAAAGGAGAGCTGGGGCCCCAACAAGGAACCACAGATGGCAGACCAGCCCTAGACTCACTAGGAGACTAATATCTTTGCCATAATGTATGAAGAGAACCCATGTCCAGGGTCCCATTTCCTACAAGCAAACTGAGCGCAAGGTGGATGTACAATGCTACAAGCTCTACCTTTCACACTCACCTGGCAGTGGGGTAAATGACTAGCCAAAGTGCAGGGCAGCAGAGAATTAGGCCCAGGCAGCCCCAAACCAGCAAACTGGGGACCAAATCCTGCAAACTTTGACTCCCACAAGCACACCTCAAAGTCAACAGTATTACTTATGTGAGCAAGGGCTTACAGGATCAATTTCTGCATTTGCTTTTGGAAGGATTCTGTAGCTGTAGCTCAAAAATGTCCTATTGTTCAGCTATGGAGCCATATTTTTCACCAGTTCCCACCCCAAACATTTCCACTGGAGTTGGACAGAATACCCACTTTGGCCCAGGGGGGTCACAGCTGTGAAATATCATAGCAGTGCCATAGTCTTCTGTTTGGCAAACTGTCACTGGGATTTTTACCATCTTGGGAGCGGGAGAGACACACCCACAACAGTACAAGGGGCTCACTAGGTTTCATTTTGCAGTCCATTCCAATGGAGCAAAAGCCAAAATGATTCCTGCTTTATTATTTTTTTCCCAGCCCTGATTTCTTGGGACTCTCTAGAAACTTTTCTGCTGCCTTAAGTGCAAATGATGCCCAAACTTTAGAAATAGCAACCTGCTATTTTTCCAGTTGTGATGTAGCTGGTCTGTTCTCCCTGAACTCTGACAAGGATAATAGGTTTAATTAGTAGCTTGTTTCCACTCAGAATGTCTGCAAGAATTTCAGTTATAGACTCGTTTGCTGGGCTTCCAAACTCAGAGGCAGCAGTTGGCTCTGGGCTGTACTGAGACCTGGTCTGTGCTGTATACAGTGTAACCCTCAAGGGACATTTTAGGATAATGTCAGAAGGGGGAAAGACTATTAAGGCTGGTAAAGGAATGAAAGAAGAAGGAAGGGCTGTTGTAATTTACTGTATCTAACTTAACTGTTTCTCTTGTATCAGGAAACAATGAGGAGAATGGGATAATTTGCTAAGAGGGGATCACTGACTCCATCATGAGAAAGATTCTTACTCGATTATCTATGGGGCACTGATAATTGTATACAGAGCTTTTCACCATCCTAGTCTTGTTTCAGTTTGACCCAGATTGGTTTAGATGGAAATGTTACTGTCCAGTGGCTCTTCTGCAGCTTGTGTATGACATGAGTGGATGGGTCTCAGCAGCAGATGTCAACATCATGCAATGCACCCACGCGACTGGTATTAACTGTCTGTTTCTGGTTGGCAGCTTCATCAGACAGGCCCAGGACCAAATGGACCACGGAGACTGAACTCCCCTCACCAGGTATGTTGGCAGGGTCACTGTGTGAGGGAAGCTCACTCTGCTGCCCATGCAGTCCATGTTTTGTACACAAGCAGAGGAGCTCAGGGGCTCGGGCTGCGAACCCAGCATCCATACTTCACGAGTGCCAAATTTCACTTCCAAAAGAAAGGACGAAAGTCAGAAAAGCCACTTGTGGCACTAGCTGTGGAGAAGGATCTGACACTAGTGCAGAAGAACGAAGGGCCCAATCCAGTTCTCACTGAAGTCCAGAGGACTTTCCATTGCCTTCACTGGGGGCTGGATCGGTCTCTAAATGAACAAGGACAAGTGGAGCAGTCTCCACTATCCAGAATGCTTTTGGACCACATCTTTCTTTTAAATATATTGTATATTTTAAATAATCTGTTCAATTGTTTCAAGATTATGCAAATCCTAACCCTGCCCTGCCTCTAAAAATCTAAAACAAGCCCCCCTTGGATTTGTCAGGAGTCTGCTCTGTATTTCCCATTGTTCAGAAAGGCTTTGGCTATTTTTATTCCAGACACTTTGGGGAGGTGTACCCTGTGACTGGAATAGCAAGGGTTATTACAGATCAGGTCAATACTGAGCTGTATTGGCTGAGCTGTGTGGAGACACAGGCTTTAAATAGGATGGGACACTGCCGGTCAGCACTGAGATACACTAGCTTGGCTGTGCAGAGCAGAGTACACCACAGTTCAGGCCTATCTTTCCCTTTAATCACAAGCTCTGAAACAAACATCCACAATTTAAAACTCAACAGTCCCTCTGCAAGGAGAAGTGATTACACTTCAAAGCAGAATGCAACAATCTTGTTTATTTTGTATTGATTACAATTACAGCCATTGTAAAAGCCTGATGGAAGCTGTGAGTGAAGAGAGCTACTCATTATTATGTGGGGTCCCTTAAAGATTCATTAATCATTCAAGGCTGACTGCACAACTCACAGTCATTTGGAACACCCAGAGGGTCATGGGATAGCGCAAGAAAGCTCATTAAGGCCTAAAATTATTTAAAGGAGCCTCTTCTATTTTGAGCTCTGCCAGACAAGACAATGAAAGCCTGTTGCTTTAAGGAAAATAATTCAGCATCCCACCCTAGCCTAGTGACTGGTTTGTGATTGGCACTCGCTGGCCAGAGGTGCAGAAGGAGCCCTCTTCAGAGCAATGCAGGAGCAGAAGAGACATGGGAGAAAGGTGAGGGGTCACTCACATTCCAGGCCATGACTGAGGAGGGACTGTGAAGTGGCACTGCACTGGCTTTCTAGAAAGATAGGTCAAGTAGTGCCCCAAGAGCTCTCTGCGTCTCCATCCCTCTGCAGCCTTCACTGCACAGCACATCCGCTCCCCATGCCCTGTTTCCCTCAGCTCCATTCCAATAGCTGGATGAAAGTCAGTAACAGAGTCTGCCCAGAGGTACCCCAGAGCCCAGATGATTTATTTCCAGCCCACTTGGTCACTATTGCACAGTTCCCTTGCCTGAGCACAGGGAATCCCACCTGCCTGTTGCAGCAGAGATCTCAACTAACGGGACATGGCTGATGTTCAGAACGCTGCACAGACATGAATCAATTCTTCCCCACAGCAGGCCATGAAAGGATCATTATCCCCCCATTGCAGATGGGGAGGCTGAGGCAGGAACCAATGACGGAGGTGGGTGTGAACGGTGGTGTCAGTTACAAGCTGGTGAGGTGGCGTAACGTGGACACAGAGGAGGCAGAAGAGCAGTGTGGCAGCATGAAGAACAGCCCCAGGACGGGGCAAGAAGGTGGAAGGCAAGGCAGCTCCTCTCACTCTATATTTCCCCCTGGTGGTCACTTTTCTGGTACAACTCTGCCCTTTTGCTCCCCAAGCACATGCACATTGACCTCTGATGGAATGGATCCAAAGAGGTGAGGTGATTTGGCTGAGGTCACAAAGGGAGTCAGTGTCAGAGCCAGGATGAGAGCTCAAGAGTGCACAGCACCCAGGTCTCAGCTTCAGCCACTTGTTAGCGATAGTCCCCTGAAGGGGATGGGGAAAGGGTTGGATGGCCCAGGGGGCTTGGTACCAGCGTCCAGAGATTTTCGCCTCAAAGTCACTGCTTTGGAGCCAGCCCAGTTCAGTAGGGGACCAAAAGCAACTACCATCTCCCGGCTCTTTGGTGGCTCCTGCACAGAATGAGTGAGAGAGGCCTCAGCCCAGCTACCACCACAGTTGCCGGCTGGCTCAGCAGGGAAGCCACAGAGACGGTACCCCACTCCCTCCAGGGCAGCGACGAGGCACACTCCCCTGCAGCTGCCCATACAGTGCCCATCATGGTGGTACACACAGGACCCCTCTCCAGGGCACTAAATTCACTTGAAAAATTTCTTTCAAAAAACAGCCAAGTTGAGTGAGAGCAGTGGCCAGCAGGATCACTCTGCTGGCACCTCTGGATTTCAGGCCCCCTTCGTGTCCCTGAGGGTGTCGGAGTTAGAAAAGCCCTCCATGCCTTCTGCCTAGGACTAACCTGGCGTGGGAACCATGAGGAGCCCAAGACACCTCCTTTGCAGTGCCCTCCCTGACAAACAGCACTTGGAATGAGCTCCATTAAAGGGAGGGAGTTCCTCAGACGTTCTTGTTATCTCCTGGAAATGTGCTGGAAATGGCCCACCTTGATTATCACTTCAAAAGGTTTTCTCTTCCCCCACCCCACCCTCCTGCTGGTAATAGCTCATCTTAAGTGATCACTCTCCTTACAATGTGTATTTTTTCATGGTCTGTGTGTATATAAAATCTCCTCACTGTACTTTCCACTTTATGCATCCGATGAAGTGAGCTGTAGCTCACGAAAGCTTATGCTCAAATAAATTGGTTAGTCTCTAAGGTGCCACAAGTACTCCTTTTCTTTCTACTAAAGAATCACACCTAAAGCCCTGCTGGGATGTAGAAACTAGCCAGGTCCTTTGTGCTGCATCCCTGCTAAAAGAACAATACAACGCTGCTTGGACTCGCTAATACCATTCACATAAACCCCTGCTTCTCCTCTTGACTGGCCTGTCTCCCTTGGATGCTTGCTCTTCACCGCTGGCTCATTCTACCAGCCTAAAGGGCGTGGCTAATGGGCTTGGCTTGGGCCTGCTGCTTCCCCTTGCAGACAGCTCTGCACCTCTGCCAAGCCTTTCCCCTGCTAGTACACAGCCACATGACTAGCAGCCCTGTTGGATGTGTTGCCATGGCAACTGGTAGGGGGAGTGGAGTCTGGCTACAATCACGCTCCTAGGTGACTGTATTGAGAGAAGCATCTGAAAAATATGCCAGAGTCACCAGGAGAGCAGGGGCAGTAACTGATGGTTATCATGGGTGCTCAGCAATGCCCATGCTGCACCTGGGAGATCAGACATGGGCTGGCAAAGTCCCTGGCCTCCAGTAACGGGGGAACGTGGCTAGGATTGGGGAAGGGGCAGGGGGTCCCTTTGGAGAGACACTGAATTCCAGCTCAGGTGCTGGGGCAAGGCTCTCTGTGGACAAATACCACACTGCCTCTGCCCATCCATCCATCCGTCCCCGGTGCTCAGATATTATAGTGTGGGACATGGTGCCATATTAGAACCCACGCAGATCTCTAGGAAAACACCTATTAGACACCCACACTACATACACATGCTGACACCTGCCATCTGGGAGGACTGAACCAGGGGATCCTCCTTCACCCTGCCACTTGTGCGAAAGGAATAACTTGCTCAGCTTCGAGTAAGTAGCTGGCTCTTGTATGTACCCATCACCTGGGCCACATCAGCCAGCCATTTCTATTACCACAGTCACCTGTACCACCTCGCCACTGCCCTGCAAAGCAGTGCTGCTGCTTCTGTGGCTATGACTCCAACGCCAGAGGCCAGTGCTGCTCTGTCCCACCCCAATCCCTGGGAGCCAGCCCCTTGTGCATTCAGGATACCGAGGTCAGTCAGCGTCCATACCTCCATATTATAGAGGAGGAAACTGCGGCCCAGCGACAGCAAAGGGCTCACCCCTAGGTGCACAGGGAATCAGTGGCAGAACCAGGAATGGAAGTGAGGACCTGCAGTGCCCTGCTCTAGCCCATAGATTCCACTACCTTTCAGTCGTTTGCATCGCCCAAGTGTGACCGGAGGAGCCGTGGGTTGCAGAGAGTGTGATTTAGGAAACATCCAGTTAAAATGGCTCACGACAGTGCTTAGGTCAATGACAAAACTCTCAGGGGGTCCCTTCTGCAAAGGGCTGGCTAGATGGTTCCTCTGCACCGTGGGTGGGATTCACTCGCCCAGCCCTCTCGTGCTGGAAGGAAGCTAGCAGTTCTCTGCCTGCCCCAACTCACCTCCAGGACCCTGCCACTGATGTACCGGTCACAGGTCTCACACTTAATGCCGAACTGGGCATGGTAGTCAGATTCGCAGTATGGAACACCGTCCCTTTGGAGGAGAGAGGGAGACAGGAAGTGAGAGGAGTGGGAGGGCACGCAGCAACTGAGAGACCCCCCCCCCCACACACACACAGACGATAAGTGGCTTTCACTGCATCAAATGGCTCAGCTGACACGTGGCCTGTATTAGAACGACCTCCCCAGAGGGGTGTTTGCTGGGATGCTCTTCTGCTATCAAGGGAGCAAGCAAGTGACCATTGGAAGGTTGGTGGTGAAGCAAGAGGGCAGCTTCTTCAGTTGTCACCCCTCCCACCAGAGGCTCTCCTCACCTACCCCATCCCTGCCCATTCCCACCCTCTCCCCCCACCCCCAGGCTCTCCTCACCTATCCCATCCCCGCCCCTCCCCACCCCGAGGTTCTCCTCACCTACCCCAGCCCCGCCCCTCCCCACCCTCTCCCACCACAGGCTCTTCTCACCTACCCCTGCCCTGCCCGTACCCACCAGCTCTTCTCACCTTCCTGGCCCCTTCCTACCCTCTCCCGGCCACAGGCTCTCCTCATCTACCCCAGCCCTGCCCCTCCCACCCTCTCCCCTCATCTACCCCATCCCTGCCCCTCCCACCCTCTCCCCCCACAGACTCTCCTCATCCTTCCCTCCCCACCCACTCCCCTGCAGGCTGCCTTTCCTCTATCAGCTTGTTTCCCCTGCAGGCTCCAGCTCATTGCTCACTCCACACAGGGGCAGGGCGAGGATTTTATTACAGGCTTCACCTTCACGCTTCAGTGCTTTTCTCAGAGAGCAGCAGGAGAGCAGTTCCAAGTGCAAGGGGACATCTTCCTGCAGGCCAGGTGCCTGATCCCCCCACACCCAAGCCAGGCCAGGCTCATGCAGCCCCTCCGCCCCCAGAAGGGGATGCAGGGCTCCCGGGCTGCCTGTCAAGAGGGCCCCATGCTACCCTTGGTGTCTCAGACCCACCGCATCTGCACAGACCACAGCAATTGTATGTAAGAGAGCACTATGCCTCTCTTACAATTGCATTGTATGTAAGAGAGCAGTGTGACTGCTCAGAGCTCCGGTATGAAACTGCAGAAAAACCTGAGTGTCTCTGGATTAAGTTTAGAAGCGTGAGCAACAAGGGTGATGTTGTGGTGGGAGTCTGCTATAGACCACCGGACCAGAGGGATGAGGTGGACGAGGCTTTCTTCTGACAACTAATGGAAGTTACTAGATCGCAGGCCCTGGTTCTTATGGGAGACTTCAATCACCCTGATATCTGCTGGGAGAGCAATACAGCGGTGCACAGACAATCCAGGAAGTTTTTGGAAAGTGTAGGGGACAATTTCCTGGTGCAAGTGCTGGAGGAACCAACTAGGGGCAGAGCTCTTCTTGACCTTGCTCACAAACCGGGAAGAATTAGCAGGGGAAGCAAAAGTGGATGGGAACCTGGGAGGCAGTGACCATGAGATGGTCGAGTTCAGGATCCTGACACAGGGAAGAAAGGAGAGCAGCAGAATACGGACCCTGGACTTCAGAAAAGCAGATTCTGACTCCCTCAGGGAGCTGATGGGCAGGATCCCCTGGGAGAATAACATGAGGGGGAAAGAAAAGGAGTACTTGTGGCACCTTAGAGACTAACCAATTTATTTGAGCATGAGCTTTCGTGAGCTTGATTATCATGCACATTGTGTAGAGAGTTGTCACTTTGGATGGGCTATTACCAGCAGGAGAGTGAGTTTGTGTGTGGGGGGGTGGAGGGTGAGAAAACCTGGATTTGTGCTGGAAATGGCCCAACTTGATGATCACTTTAGATAAGCTATTACCAGCAGGACAGTGGAGTGGGAGGAGGTATTGTTTCATGATCTCTGTGTGTATATAAAGTCTGCTGCAGTTTCCACGGTATGCATCCGATGAAGTGAGCTGTAGCTCACGAAAGCTCATGCTCAAATAAATTGGTTAGTCTCTAAGGTGCCACAAGTACTCCTTTTCTTTTTGCGAATACAGACTAACACGGCTCTTACTCTGAAACCTGTCATTATGAGGGGGAAAGGAGTCCAGGAGAGCTGGCTGTATTTTAAAGAATCCTTATTGAGGTTACAGGGACAAACCATCCCGATGTGTAGAAAGAACAGTAAATATCGCAGACGACCAGCTTGGCTTAACAGTGAAATCCTTGCTGATCTTAAACACAAAAAAGAAGCTTACAAGAAGTGGAAGATTGAACAAATGACCAGGGAAGAGAATAAAAATATTGCTCGGGCATGCAGGAGTGAAATCAGGAAGGCCAAATCACACCTGGAGTTGCAGCTAGCAAGAGATGTTAAGAGTAACAAGAAGGGTTTCTTCAGGTATGTTAGCAACAAGAAGAAAGTCAAGGAAAGTGCGGGTCCCTTACTGAATGAGGGAGGCAACCTAGTGACAGAGGATGTGGAAAAAGCTAATGTACTCAATGCTTTTTTTGCCTCTGTCTTCATGAACAAGGTCAGCTCCCAGACTGCTGCACTGGGCAGCACAGCATGGGGAGGAGGTGACCATCCCTCTGTGAAGAAAGTGGTTTGGGACTATTTAGAAAAGCTGGATGAGCACAAGTCCATGGGGCCGGATGTGCTGCATCCGAGAGTGCTAAAGGAGTTGGCGGATGTGATTGCAGAGCCATTGGCCATTATCTTTGAAAACACATGGCGATCGGGGGAGGTCCCAGAAGACTGGAAAAAGGCTAATGTAGTGCCCATCTTTAAAAATGGGAAGAAGGAGGATCCGGGGAACTACAGGCCAGTCAGCCTCACCTCAGTCCCTGGAAAAATCATGGAGCAGGTCCTCAATGAAGGACTTAGAGGAGAGGAAAGTGATCAGGAACAGTCAGCATGGATTCACTAAGGGCAAGTCATGCCTGACTAATCTAATTGCTTTCTATGACAAGATAACTGGCTCTGTGGATGAGGGGAAAGCAGTGGACGTGTTGTTCCTTGACTTTAGCAAAACTTTTGACACGGTCTCCCACAGTATTCTTGCCAGTAAGTTAAAGAAGTATGGGCTGGATGAATAACTATAAGGTGGCTAGAAAGCTGGCTAGATTGTCGGGCTCAATGGGTAGCGATCAGTGGCTCCATGTCTAGTTGGCAGCAGGTATCAAGTGGAGTGCCCCAAGGGTCGGTCCTCGGGCCGGTTTTGTTCAATATCTTCATAAATGATCTGGAGGATGGTGTGGATTGCACCCTCAGCAAGTTTGCAGATGACACTCTACTGGGAGGAGAGGTAGATACGCTGGAGGGTAGGAATAAGATACAGAGGGACCTAGACAAATTAGAGGATTGGGCCAAAAGAAATCTGATGAGGTTCAACAAGGACAAGTGCAGTGTCCTGCATTTAGGATGGAAGAATCCCATGCACCGCTACAGACTAGGGACCGAAAGGCTAGGCAGCAGTTCTGCAGAAAAGGACCTAGGGGTTACAGTGGACGAGAAGCTGGATATAATTCAACAGTGTGCTCTTGTTGCCAAGAAGGCCAATGGCATTTTGGGATGTATAAGTAGGGGCATTGCCAGCAGATCGAGGGACGTGATCGTTCCCCTCTATTCGACATTGGTGAGGCCTCATCTGGAGTACTGTGTCCAGTTTTGGGCCCCACGCTACAAGAAGGATGTGGAAAAACTGAAAGGAGTCCAGCGGAGGGCAACAAAAATGATTAGGGGACTGGAACACATGACTTATGAGGAGAGGCTGAGGGAACTGAGATTGTTTAGTCTGCGGAAGAGAAGAATGAGGGGGGATTTGATAGTTGCTTTCAACTACCTGAAAGGGGGTTCCAAAGAGGATGGAGCTCGGCTGTTCTCAGTGGTAGCAGATGACAGAACGAGGAGTAATGGTCTCAAGTTGCAGTGGGGGAGGTTTAGGTTGGATATTAGGAAAAACTTTTTCACTAGGAGGGTGGTGAAACACTGCAATGCGTTACCACGGGAGGTGGTGGAATCTCCTTCCTTAGAAGTTTTTAAGGTCAGGCTTGACAAAGCCCTGGCTGGGATGATTTAGTTGAGGATTGGTCCTGCTCTGAGCAGGGGGTTGGACTAGATGACCTCCTGAGGTCCCTTCCAACCCTGATATTCTATGATTCTATGATAATTGTTTGGAACTGCTGGCCCTTGACCAGCTTCTGAGGAGGGGATGGAGTGGGACTCCTGGGGCAGCTAAGCTGTGCTCTGGAGTCTGAGGAGGAGGAGAGGAGTGGTACGAGGGTACAATAGAGTTGCTCTTGCCTGCTAATGTTACTGAATTTGCCTGAAGCCTCCTAGGGGCCATCTAGCCTGGACTGTAAAAGCCTGACAGTGGGCATGCTTCATGAGCCAAGGCTGTGCCAGAAACCCTGCAGCTGGCCAGCATGCAGAGCAAGAAACCTTTTCCCTGCTGCCTGCTCTCAGCCTCAGACAGTCACAAACACACACGGAGACCCATAGCCCTCGATGCCGCTGCTGTGCCCAACACCACAGCCACCAAGGGGTGAGGAAGAGTGACAGCCTGCCTGGGCCAAAAGCACAGGCCACTCGAGCTAATGGAGACTCTGCCCTGGGGGACCAGCACTACGGCCTCTGACAGGTACTTGAGCAGATGCGCTGTTCCATTCGGAAGAGGGCATGCGTGCCACATACTCACCAGCCGGCCCTTTCCCTGTGCAGTAGCATGTCTTGGAGGGATTCCAATGATCCCCCTCCCCATCATGGTGAGCCCCTTCCCCAAGTTTCCTCAGAGACGTGTCTAGCACTTCCAGGATGCATCCTTCCCACCCAGCTGTGGGGGTGTGTGTGGAGACAGGTGATCAGCTGGCTCCCCACCCAAAATCCATTTTTGTGATATGATCTTCTGAAGCCCCTGCAGCCTGAAGGACGAGGGAAGTCGTGAGCCTGCAGTAATCCCAGGGGCGTACACTAGCCCTCGGCCTCCTTGCTCCCTCCCCAGTGAGTGGCCATGGTGCAGTGAAGGATGCCGGGAAGGGATGAGGAGACACTCACTTGCTGATGTACTCGCCGGTCAGGATGATCCCGCAGGTTTGGCATTTGAAGCAGCTGACGTGCCACTGCTTCTCCAGGGCCAGGAGCGACTGGCCGTGCTTGATCTCCTCCTTGCAGCCCGCACAGTCTGGGGAGACAAGGGATGGGGCAGAGCATGAAACCACCACAGCTTCCTGCCCCAGGGGGCTCTGCAGCCTGGCGAAGGCGCAGCTGGCAAACCCTCTGGGAAATCGCAAGAGTTGGCAACACTGAAGCCCTGCTCTCATCTTGCTGTCATCTAGAGCAAGGCACTGTGACTCGCATATTTCAAACTCTGCCCAAGCTAGAGGGGACATATTGAGACACTTTGTTGACTTGTGCCATCATTCCCTAAAGTCTTGGGAGCCAGGACAGGATACTGTGCACACCGAGAGAATCAAACGCACAGCCCCACACTTACAGCAATGCACACAGATACACACACAGACTCACACTGAGGGTAGGTCTGCACGGCATTCGGTAGTGTGATTGCAGCTCAGGTGGGCATACCTGCACTGGCTTTATTATAGCTAGCGCAGCTGAAAATAGCAGTGAAGACCCAGCAGCATGGACCCTGGCACTGGATTGTACAAGCTTGCCCAGAATCCGGAGTACATACTTGCATTGATAGTCCACACCGCGGTCCATGCCACTTTATCTTCACTGCTATTTTTAGCCAGGCTTGCTAGAGTCAAGCTTGCAGTGTGAACATACCCACAGGCACACACAAATTCCCATGCACAGAATCAGAGAGAAGTGCGTGCACACACACACATATAGAATCAAACCACTCTCTCCCTGAATCAGACACCTTTTCATCCTCCGATATGGGTGCTGGGAGAGAGGCCTCCGATGAGAGCTATCCCAACACACATTGCATTTTTCTTCTAATGGGAATATGCATCTTCAGCACGTTCCCTAATGAGTTCCAGCACTTTGCGTATTGCGTAGCAAGCTTCCACAGTTGGTGCTAAGAAAGAGCTGGGCTCCTCAGAGGAAAACTGGGTGGGATGGCCAGGACCACAGACAGCACATGGGCAAAATGCACCGGGAATATGCCATGATCCTACTGAGCAACCGGCACCCCCAGCCTTGCCCAAAGCAGATGGCCTCACTTGGTGGGCATCGGGGCGCAGCCAACCTGCTTGGTTTGTCCTGGTTTTCGATCTGCTTTTCTGAGATTCTTAGAGCGAATGTTGGCAGGAAGTCATGTTTGGAAGGGGAATAAATACCAGTGACAGCCACTTCCCAGCTTGGGTGGATGGGGATGCAGCAGTCTGGTGTAGCCAGGGACTCTTTGCCAAAAATTTCCCAATGTTGCTAGCAGCAGTTCAGCTCCACCAGTGGGAGCCCTGGTGCTGAGCAAGATTTACCCATTCGGTCATGAGCTAGGTGACCCTGGGGTTAAAATACTGGCAGGCCTTGAATCCTATCTGTATTACTGCTCCTAGCATAGCTCCCCCCTCGGGTAGCAATGGTGGGAAGTGTCTGGCAGCAAGCCGAGCATAGGAAGGGCTGTTCTGTAAGCTGTGTCTACATCAGTCCACTGCAGTATTTACCAGCCTTCCTTCCTTTCCCATTTCCCTGGGCTCCCATCAAGGCTGGAAGCAGGAAGCATATGGGGGCCTTAGAGCCCTGGCTTTGACTCCTCTCTGCCCTTCTCTCTCTCTCTCTCTCTCTCTCTCACACACACATCAGGGACTCTCTAGGATTTCAGGAGTCTGTGTGATACATGGACAAGGTGTTCCTTTTTAACCTCTTTGCTGCTGGTCTCCAGGGAGATTTCAGTCCCCTGTGCTACACAAATGCAACAAATAAGGTGCATTGCAAGCCAACTGAGTGGTAATCTTGACAGCACCAAAGGTGTGTTTTACCCAGCACACTTCAGGGCAGCCTTGCAGCTGCATTTTACCCCCATGCATCTGCCTCATTGGGCAGCACTGGAGGGACATTTTGACTCTATATACCTGGCACAAAGAGCAGCAGCTCAATTAACCTCTTCTCAACGTTAGTCATTCTCTGCTGTGCTCTGGCACGTGCCCCTACATGGCACAACTCCCCCGGGTTTGCTGCTCACGCGCCTTTCAGATTTGCTCCTGTTATGTTGGCTGTCAGGAGGCTTTGGAGGAGACTTGCAGAAGCAGCCTGCAACCTTCTTTGGGGATGTCCTCATCTGAGAACTTACTCTTGCTTTTGCTACTAGACCACAGTGGCACTTCCCTCACCTCCCCCAGGGGTCCGAGGCTCTGCAGTCCCCAGCTGGCTGCAGTGCCATGGAGGTGATAAGGGTGCAGGCCAGGAGCAGTGAGAGAAACTGTCTTGGCTCATGCACATCCTGGATGCCGCCTGCAGCTAGTTATGAATAATCCATGCTGCCCTCGGGTAACCTCAGCTCTGCAGCCTAGCCGAGGAGCGTCTGAGAGCGGATTTCAGAAGCTGTGGTCTCCAGGGCACCTGACCGGGAAAGGAGATGGAAGTAGTTGGGAGGAAACAGATGACACACGTGGCTCCCCTTCCCTTCCTCTCTGCCAAGAGCCTCCTAATGGACACGGGGGGGTAGTCGTGGGGGGGGGGGGGGAAAAAGCAACCTTGTGCTGACTCAGCGCTAGTCTGCTCTAGCTCGGATAAAACGGGCCTTGCTGCTTTCATCACCACCATCTGGGGTCTGTCATGTCCAGCTCTGCCAGGAGTGTCCCCACTGGGGCAATGGGTTCACTGGCCTCTCATGCCTGGGGCCGACAAGAGCACACTGTAACACGATGCCAAGGCCAGACCCCTGAGCTAGGTTCACACCAGGTCAAACAAGTGGCCTCTCCAGTCCGGTTCCCCATGTCTGCCAGTGGTCAGTACCAAATGCCTCAGAGGAAGCACTGTAACAGACAGTAATGGGATAACCTGCCTGGAGGGGATGTTTCTTCTTGACCCCATCAGTTAGTGGCTGGCTCATGCCTTGAAGCAAGAAGGGTTATAGCCTAGATACATTTTAAAATTCTGTCCAGCGTAACTGTAACCTCAGCTCAGGTGGGGGTCATGGGATGGAGTGGACACACGAGAGAGAAGTGGGGGACCTACTGTTTATGGGTTCCCAAGTTCGGAGCAAACCAGACCCCCTTAAATCAAATTGAAATTAAAACGAACTAGATTTAAATAATAAATTGGGATTTCCCCCCTCTGCTTTCCCCCACACCTCCAATGCAAGAGCTCCCTGAATCCAAGAGCTATGGCTGGAACGCGAATCAAGCCCACGATGGGAAACTCCACAGTTCAGGGGCCCACACCTTGGCCTTAGGCCTCGAGTGGGAAAGCAAAAAGTCACCACTTCCCCTGCCCAGTGGTGTGAGGGCAGATCAGCCTGCGCCGTGGGGTCTGTCTGGGTTCACTGGGTCAGTGCTGTGACTTTCACATTCTGACCCACAGACTTCTTTGCATTAAAATCCCATTGAAAACAAAGAGAAACAGAAGGAAGAAGTCTTCCATGGCAGTTTCTAAAAATGGACATTGTTCTTCTGAGAGGCTGAATCTCCCTCCATTTGAGCTGTCACCTGCTACCCTCTATGGCAAACACATATGAAAACTTCTCCACAAATGTAGGGCTGGCTGCCCAACACACCCTGTCTTCCACCCACCAGCTGACACTGGTGTGCTCTCTTGGGCACCTGCTGAACAGTGCAACATTTGCAGGACTCCCGCCAGACTGTCCTGGCAGAGCAGTGAGTGACTCCTGCTGGTCTCAGGGGTGTCCCTTACTGGTGCTGCAGTGAGGGCTTGTGCTCCTGCCACTCAGCAGTGTGGTACAGCTGATATGACAGGAGTTTGGTCACCAGGGGATGGCATGGCTCCCATTTATCTCAGTCTTCTGCCATCTGCGCAAGAATTATGCTGATGCAGTTCTCCCATGACTTCTCCCATACACTGTATATGTGGGTACCAGCAAAGGATAGACCAGTTATTAACTCATTGCAATCCCCTTCCTTGGACAAGGGCCTCAGCCTGCTCCCTCTGTGAATGGCTCATCAGTGGCATAAAGTCCCATACCCCCTAGCCATATATTGGGTATTCAGCCACCTTTGGTTGAGGGCAAAGCCAGATGCCCCCTAGCCAGCCCACAGAGCAGCAAGGAAAGTCTTTGCAGTCACACAGGCTGCTAAGCTGAGTAGACAGAGACACAAAGGGAGGGAGGAGGTAAGAGGTGAGAGCTCTAAAAGCCAAAGTGCAATGTAACTGGGGAGAACCAAGACAGAAAGAAAGAACGAGAAAGAGAGAGAGAGGAAAAAAAAGAAAGATACTGTAAATATAAAAGAAACAACAAGACAATCCTAGGCCTAATCCAAAGTCCATCAAAGCCAATGGAGGCTTTCCACTGCCCCCAATGGGCTTTGGATCAGGCCCTGTGTGTGAGGGTTTGGGAGGTGGCTGTTCAAACCCAGCTACCATAGCAGGGTGAAGTGAGTAAATAAAACCCTAGCTAAAACCAGTGCCTGTTTCCCCTAGGTGGTGCTGCTCATGTACAGAGAGAGAACCCCTGGAGCTCAGTACATTTCTGAGGAAGAACACAAGTGAGCAAGCAAGACCCTGCTTTTCCAGAGCAGCTGCTGGCAGCCCCAGCTTCTACATTGCTCAGTTACCTGTGATCGTAACAAGTGCGCTGAATCTTGCTCTCAGGTGTCACAGAGTGCCTGGCTTGTACTTCCTGGGAGCAAGGGCAGGAAGAATGACTTGTCCTCCTGCTCCTTGCCTTCCCTTAACAGGGCAATCCCACCTCAGACTTACACAGGCGAGGTGAACACAGCATCCACATGAGGATCACAGCACCTTGTCCTTCCTCCCCTCCCTGCAGATTTTGGGTTTGGGTATTGTCCCAACAATCTAGTGCTGTCTTCAGAAACGCCGCTTCAGACTGCCTCAGGCTGCAAAGGGCTCGCTAGCAAAGCCCTGCCAGGTCATGAATACAACATGGGATTTCCAGACACCAGTGGGCCATAAGGAAAGCCCAGGTGGAACTGGGAGATGCCCTGTCTGAGATGCCTCCCCCATCAGCTCCACAAATGAACCCTAACCACACCCGCTTCACCAGTGCTCCACTACACTGCAATACTGGGGCCCTTCCCGTTATTTCCAGCACTGGGGAGAAATCCAGCATTGGGCATGTGCACCACAAGAGAAGTCCTCTGCCCTGGCTGAGTGTCCGTGTTCTAATAGCATCTCTGATTGCTTGTGGGGATGGGAAAGCGTGGGTCTGTAACTGTGGTAGGAAACATTGTACAACTCTTCTCATAGCCTCTGAGTACATTTAAGGAAACACCAGGGAGCAAACAGATCACATTGCCGGCCCCGCATATGGATCCAGCTGCTTCTCTTCCTGGTACCTGCTATCGCTGGGTCTCTTAAAGACACAGGCTACCGCAGCCATAATGACCTAGCATGGAGCAATTGCTCCAAGATGGGCTTTCTCTGCCAGGTCGCATGATAGCACCAGGGATCAGAACCTGGAGGATCACCTGTAATTAACCCTTTACAGACAGCACACATGAGAGAGCAAGATCAAATCTATCCAACTTACGGCTCGGCCCGTGAATCTTGATAGGCTTGGTGCTGATCAGCGAATGGGAACAGGCTTGGCAGACGCAGTCTTTCCCACTGAATGTCACTTTGTCTCCAATGGGGAACGGCTTCCTGCAGCCACAGAGAAGGCAGGAAAGCATAAGAAACACACCTCCCCTGCTTAGAGCTCCAGCTAGGCTTCATGGCTGCTCCCTGGGTTAGTTTGTCCTTCTAATCCCATCCATGGGCCTCCGCTTATTCCCTCATGGGGCAGTCATTCAGGGCAGGGGCACCAGCTGCAGCAGTCTTGGTCCCACTCAGGAGTGGTTGCAAAGAGCTGAGCTGCACCTGTCTCTTTCCTAGTTTCTCCCCTGGTGAGATCAGGCTGTCCAAGGGAAGGATGGAGCAGGTGTGGGGAAGATCTTGGGAGAAGAAGAAAGGGTCTAAGGGGCAGAGCAAGCAGGGTGTCAGCTTGTCAGGGGGAGGATTGAGGCAAGACAAAGGATTGCTTTCTTCCCCTGATGAAAAATGGTGATATAGGAAATGTACACACGCACCTAGATGAATGCACACACCTACAATCAACCACACAGTGAGACATACACCAGCAGAAGTGTACACCCCTACATCCAACCACAGCTACGCACATAGAGATACCTCTCCCTGGAGAACGCACACACCCACAGCTGAACACAACCACACACAGAGGCATGCACCCACCCCCAGAGATATGGGTGCAAAACATGGAGAGAGACATGCACAAACATTAATGGATTCCAAAGGCACAAGGGACCACAATGATTATCTAGTTTGACCTCATATAGAACACAGGCCAGAGAACTCCCAAAAGTAATTCCTAGAGCAGATCTTTTAGAAAAACATCCAATCTCCATTTAAAAATGGTCAGTCACGGAGACTCCACCACAATGCTTGGTAAGTTGTTCCAGTAGCTAATTACGCTCACTATTAAAAATGTGCGCCTTATTTCCAGTCTGAATTTGTCTGGACTGTGCTAGACCTTTCTCTGTTAGATTGAAGAGCCCACTATCAAATATTTGTTCCCCATGTAGGTACATATAGACTGTAATCAAGAAACTCCTTAACCGTCTCTTTGGTAAACTCAATAGATTGAGCTCCTGGAGTCTATCACTATCAGGCATAGTTTTTAATCCTTTAATCATTTTCGTGGCTCCTCCCTGGATCCTCTCCAATTTATCAACATCCTTCTTCAATGGTGGACACCAGAACTGGACGCAGCATTGCAGCAGCGGTCGCACCAGTGCCAAGTATAGAGGAATGCATCAAAAACATGCAGGAATACAGCCACACAAAGGCGCAGACGTCCACAGGGACAACACCCGCACAGAGGCACGGACACGCACACAGTCACACAGGCAAAACACAGATGGTTATCTCTGCACTGCTGCTCTGCTCAGGTGGCAGGGCACACAGAGTAAGGCGCTGTTGGTGGGGAGGGTGAGTTTCAGTACCTGGGTGTCAGAGTACAGAGCCAGAAAGGAATAGCATAGTGGGCTACGGATTTGCATTGAGAGGCTGCACCAGAGCTGGGTTGGGGGTCCTAGGACTGGAGTAGCAGGGGTGATGTGAGTCAGGAATGAGGTGCCCTGAAAGGGCAGTTTGAGGGGAGCCTGTCCAGTGCCTGGTTCCAACCCGCTTCCTTTAATGGTCCCTTGATTCACTCACAGTGTTAAAGTAATAGACCCAACCCTCTCCAGCACTGCTCAGAGCTGCCCTAGTGGAACAGTGTCTAGCCCTCTCCAGACAGATTTACAGTTCCCCATGGACATTAATAACTCCCTGTGACACACAGCTGGTGGTTCACTGCTCCGTGTCAGCAACTCTTCTCAGGACTGACAGACTCACTACACCCAACACACTGTTGTCATGAGATATACCCAAAACGTGGCATGCAATATATCACTGGAAAACTAATAACTCACTGATAATTAATATTCCTGCCTGATCTGTATAAAGTAAACCCACAAATAGATAGATGCTGGAAATATGTGACTGAAATGTGTTTAAACCAGGCATGTCAGGGGGAGCTTAAAAACTGGTTTTCTCCAGACAAAGAAAAGAGGCCAACACCTCATAACAGGTGTGGCCAAATTCAATGGGCTATTCATTGGTATGAGCGGTTGCAGGAAGAGATAATTTGCATTGTGAAAATCACCAGCAGAAGAGAAGACAGCCTGGTGTCTACACCAGACAGCCTGGCATTCACACCCAGCAGGGAAAGGAACTTTATCTGGGGATACATTTCCGAAGAACACATTTCAAAGGTTCATTGGACTATAAAGACAGGGGGAGCGAACCCCTAAGTTATCCTTCACCTGAGAAGACAAGGAAAATCAGTGCCCGGGAGTCTGTGGGGAGCCTGATTAAGAGCTACCCAGCCATTGCTGGAGGAGGAAGATTGCTGAGGAAACTACCTTGAACAAAGACTGTAGCTTGTTAAGTTAGGCCTTAGCCATTAGAAGGGGTATTTTTACTTTGGGGAGGGTTGTTTGTAACTCTTTCTACCTTTATCCCTTAGATCTGAGCTTGCTTAAAATCTCTCTCTTTTTGATTAAATAAACTTGTTTCACTTCTGCCTAAAACAACCCAGTGCTTTAATTGAACTGAAGTGATTATTAGCTCCAGTCCAGATAATACACTGCTGTTTCTCTTCTGTGAGCGTTTCAGCAGAGGACTGGGCACGGCAGGGAGACAGGTTTGGAGATATTTGGGACAGAGTGTTGATGTCACCCTGCAGCAAACAGTAACTGGAAGGGAGATGTGACCTGCATGCGTGTATGCTGGCTGTTGGTCTCCGGGCTGAGAGCAACAGCAACATAGCATGCATTTAAGACACCCAGAGCTGCAAGGGAGGTGGTGACACAACCCCTTACAGATCTGGGTTGAACCCCAAAATGTCAGACCCCTTCAGTGTCTGCAGTAACGTTTATTCACCTTGTACTAACATTTAACACGTCAGATCCTGACATGCTCTCAGTCCAGCTCATGCACCTTGGCAGTAATTACCAGCAGTGCGAAAAGGAAAAGCCACAGCAAGTCAGCTCATTCCTTTGCACACGCTGGCTCAGGGAGACATATGGCCATGAAGACCTTAGCAACACCTCTGCTGAGGAACAAGCTCTCCTGCTAGTTAGTTAGTTGGTTTAGTTCATTCTTTCAAAAACACAGTTCTGTGCAGTGTCTCTGAACGGCAAGGCCATTGTAAGCTTCTCCCACATGATGCTGCTACCACACCTCACCCCTGCCCTTAGCACCTGCTATTCTAATCCTACACCCCCACAGCTCCCTCAATGCACCTCAGCCCTGCCCGTAGCACCCTGCTATTCCAGTCCTGCACCCCCACAGCTCCATCAATGCACCTCAGCCCTGCCTTTAGCACCCTGCCATTCCAGTCCTGCACCCCCGCAGCTCCATCAATGCACCTCAGCCCGGCCCTTAGCACCCTGCTATTCCAGTCCTGCACCCCTGCAGCTCCATCAATGCACCTCAGCCCTGCCCTTAGCACCCCGCTATTTCAGTCCTGAACCCCTGCAGCTCCATCAATGCACCTCAGCCCTGCCCGTAGCACCCTGCCATTCCAGTCCTGCACCCCCGCAGCTCCGTCAATGCACCTCAGCCCTGCCCTTAGCACCCTGCTATTCCAGTCCTGCACCCCCACAGCTCCATCAATGCACCTCAGCCCTGCCCGTAGCACCCTGCTATTCCAGTCCTGCACCCCCGCAGCTCCGTCAATGCACCTCAGCCCTGCCCTTAGCTCCCTGCCATTCCAGTCCTGCACCCCCGCAGCTCCGTCAATGCACCTCAGCCCTGCCCTTAGCACCCTGCCATTCCAGTCCTGCACCCCCGCAGCTCCGTCAATGCACCTCAGCCCTGCCCTTAGCACCCTGCCATTCCAGTCCTGCACCCCCACAGCTCCGTCAATGCACCTCAGCCCTGCCCTTAGCACCAGGCTATTTCAGTCCTGCACCCCTGCAGCTCCATCAATGCACCTCAGCCCTGCCCTTAGCACCAGGCTATTCCAGTCCTGTGTGATGAACAGATTATCTCCATTCAGCCAAGGTGGGGATTGTGCAAAGCCAGAGGGTCTGGTTAGGAATTCACCAAAGCTACTTTCAGTAGTAAACTCATCCAGGATTGGAACTCAGTTCCCCAGGGGTGAAAGGTGAGGGTTCTGACTTGCTTTGCTGCTTCCCTGTGGCTTTCACTGAGGCAGGAAATGGAAGACTTGCTTATTGGGATGCCAGACTTTGGGCAAAGTGGAGTAAGGAGAGAAGATCCAAAGAATTGATGTATGTCGTTGTCGTCGTCACCGCCCCCGCCCCCCGGCACCACCCATTGCAATGTCCCTGGTGGAATAGCATGTTTGCTATGTCTTAGGGCACCCATTACACCAAGCTACAAAATACATTCAGGGCATTGCTGAGACGGGTCCTTTGCCCCAGCACTGGCCTGAAAACCAGCAGTGCCTTCCCAGCTTCAGGCATTGGCCTGCCCCTGGGGAGGGGGTGTGGTACCCTGCAGCTGCATGTCCAACTCACCTGCACATGCTGCAGACAAAGCACTTGGGGTGGTATGTCCTGCCCAGGGCAGAGATGACCTCTCCAGTGATGAAGTCGCGGCAGCTGTCGCAGCGGGTCCCATAGAGCTGCTGGTAGTCATGGGTGCAGATGTATTCTCCATTCTTAAAGAAGAAGCCTGACTGGGCCAGGTCACAGCCGCACACTAGAGAGGGAGAAAACAACCCCAAGGGGAGAACAGTCAGCTCAACAGTGAGCACCTTCACAAGCTGGGCATGTTTCCTCCAAGGGCTTCCGAGAGGTGCCACGAGGTGGGACTTTCCTGAGTCAAAGTGAAGTCACAGGGGGGGTCGGCCTGGGCTAGCATGGTCACAGCATCTCAGCAAAGCACTTGAAACACTCCAGTGCATGCTGCACCCAATCCCATAGGAACAGCAGCTGAGGGCACGCAGGGAGTGAGGCCATGTGCTCCCCCAGTCACTTTTACAGAGGTCCCCTCGGTGCCCCTGTATCTTCACTCCTGGTTTTCACATTCCTCCCTTTCCTACAGCCCCACCTTTTTTTTTTTAAATGGTTGCAACTTGGCCTACGCACATGGGAGCTTTGAATTAAGCCTCAGAGAATAAGCATTAAGGTGAAGCACTAACTCCTTTGATCAACATAGCCCACTGGGCTGGACTTCTCTATAGAAGTCACTAGCCACATCCCAGTGCACACCGAGAGGGTCTCCGGGAAAACCTAGCATGAATTCTTCAGTCGTAGTCTCCCAAATGTGATTGTTCCAAAAACTTGATCAGGAGCCTTAGGGGCGGGGATCTGGCCTGGGAACTGCAGACATCTCAGTAGGTTCCTCCCTTTCCACAGCTGGCCAGCTCTGAAATGCTGAGGGGCCGGTGGGCACCTCCTTCAGCCCCACAAGATGTCACTGTTGGGCTGCGGGCCCAGTCCAGGATGAAGCCTCCTGGTTTTGGAAAGGGATGGGCCCTGCTGAGAGGAAACTGTAGGCCGCACGCAATGGTCAAAGGAACTGGCCAGCAAGATGATTTCAGTGCAGAGCAGCCTGGCACGACCGGACATGGATTAGGCTAATCCAAGAGCTGCATTATTCCCTCGCCCTGCCCACCACACCTGATGGCACCTAAACAGGGTCAGGCACATCCCTCTTCCCTCTACATTGTGCCTTTACAAATGTAAAAGGTTTTTTAAATGTTAATTGCTTTAGTGCTCATGAAAGTGATCTCCAGGTAGTATTAGCTAGCGCCAGGCATGCTGGGGACAGGAGCCATGCAAACTTCCTCCACCCAGCCCCAGCCCTAGGGCTTACGCACTGGCAAGCTCTTCCTGCAGGCTTGGCTAGGAAAGAGGCCACGTAGCTGCAGTAGCTGTCCAGTGGCTCTAATGGATAAGCCTGGCCCCAAGGCTGCTGTGCCAGGTTTGGAAAGGCAGCCACCACCCCCTCCTTCACCTGCTGTGGCATCAGATTACAGTGGCACCAGCATGAGGTGAGTGTCATGATTACGAGTCTGACTTTTACCTTGACTCTCTTTCAATACCAATAAAGCACCACACACTCCAGGGATTGTCCTTTGAGCAGGGGTACAGAACTGAGGGTTTTCCAGTGAAATCCCCCCCTTCAGCCTGGGAGATCTGCTGCAAGGAGGTGCAACTGCAGAGAGGAGCAGAGCAGGCAACCGAGCATTCAGTGGCACAATCCATCCGGCCTGGATGGTGCATCTTCTGCTCCCTTAGTTTTGCCCATGACTTGGGACTGTTACCAGGAGCTTTTAAACCACCCCAGGAAGCTCCCATGGGTGACAGGTGCCTCTTCAGTTTGTTTCTTTTAAAAGAAATCAAGAATCAGCAGGATTCAGCTGCTGCTCCTGCTGCCTTGTCATGGCAAAGGCATTCACAGCCCTGGAAAATAGCAATGGGAGTAGGAGCACAGAGCTGCTGATGCTGGAGACAGGAACAGGACTAATCTCAGCCCATTAACTTCTCCAGGAGAAAGAGGCTGCCGTTAGAACTGCCATGCAGGTGGCATGGCTGAATGATGCATGAAAATGCCTGTCGGGGGCTGAGTGGCCAAGGGGTGCTGCTTGCTTGATGGGGCAGACAAAGAGCTAATTCTGGTCTGTGAATGGATGGGCCCCAAAGCCCTGGCAGGGTGTGTGTGTGATTTAACATCACTGCATCAACTCGGGAGTGCAAACTCATGCTTCAGGCTCTCTTATATGCCCTCTCATTCCACAAGCTCAGCAGAGAGATCCGGGCACCCAGGAATGAGGCAGGGGAAAGTGCCAAGATTATCTCAAAGCACTTTATTGACATTAATGCCCCACAGTCCCTCTGTGCCATTGGGCAGTATCACCATCCCTATTTTACAAGTGGGGAAACCGAGTCAGGGGAAGGGTAGTGACTTGGTGCTCCAAGGTCACACAGGAAGTCTGTGGCACCTGCCACAACACGGATTAATCTGGTTCCATGCTCTAATACCCCAGGCTCCCTCCCCTAGCACCAAGTTGTAGAACAGAACAGCTAAGCTGTGTGGGGAGTCCAGCTTACAGTCAGGGGGGCTGGGTCTGCACTTGGAGGGGCGGACCGGACTTGCATGGTGCTTGGAGAGACTTGAACATTCAACGGAAGTCCAGCAACCCCTTGGGGTATTTAATGCTAAGCTGAGCAGCTCAGCGTCCTGCCAGCCATGCTCTGTGCAGCTCTCCTGTGCGCTTGTCCAAGGCATTGCAGGCCTGGGAGCAGATATCTGTCCAGCCCTCTGAGCCTTATGCCCTGCCAGGGACACTTACCTGCAAGAGGAGCTTCTCAGAACAACCCTTCTTCTCACTGCCTCCACTGATACCTCCAGCTTCCCCTCTCCTGCTCAACCATCAGTGCCTGCCCCCACCTCCGTTCAGAAAGCAGCTGGAATGCCCAGACCTGCAGAAGCAGCACGCAGCCCCCCAAAGTCTGCAACAGCTCTGTGTAGTGCTGTGTTTCTCCCACCTTTGCACAGATGTGCGTCCACTCCCCACCTCCCCGCTGGGGACAGTGCCACCTGTGGGGTAACGCTCAGCTCCCCGGGCCTCTCGGAGCAGACAGTGCTGTTGCTTCACTCGGCAAGCAGCCCTGGAGCAGAACAATAGCAGGTGCCTCCTCATTCCTCCTTCTGCACCCTCCAGGTGCCGCAGGGATGACGATGGACAGAAGGACGGACCAGCTCTGTCAGACTCAGCGCAGGCCCAGACACAGAGGCAAGAGCTGCAGAGGCAGGTTTTGGCCCCATCTGCCCCAGGGCCAGAAGCACGTTGGCGCTAACCATTGGGCAATCGCTATCGAGCGCTCTGGGCTGAGGGCAGGCAGGGGAGATATGGGAAGCCTGGCGGGGGAGCAGGGCTGCAAGCAAGGAGGCCAGCACAGGGGTTGGGGAAAGGTGAGGCTGGGTGGGGAAGAAGCTGGGAGGGGCAGGTGTGGGAGAAGGGTTTCCTCTCATAATTTATTCCCTTTCACTTTGAAATCAGATGGCAGCCGCTGCCAAGCTCTCCCCGGTGGCTCCTCGTCCCCTTTGAAGCTGGAGCCAGTCTGAGCTCTTTGTCTGGTGGAAGACTTTGCTGTTTCGCACAGATAACGCAGTGGGGGAGGGGTTTCTGCAGCAGAGCGCCATGCACCTGCAGGCCAGCCCCGAGAGCGGCCTGGGCCCGGCGGTGGGGGTGTCTGGGAATCTGGGAATCTAAGGCTGGCTATAACCTGGGGGGGGGGGGGTGTCCCTGTGTACACACAGGGCGGTGTGTGCATGCAAAGGAGATGTACGTATATATATATCTACAGAGAGAGAGATAGTGTGTACGTGGGGTGGGCTCTGACTGTGCGAGAGACCAAAACTACCCTGGAAAGAGACACCCTCCTCCCTTCCTGTGCATGAAGGAGTCACTAAGTGCAGGTGATTTGTGCCCAGGTTAGCGTGAAGGAACTAGGAGGGGTAGAGGTTTGTAAGAAAGAAACCCTAGTAATTCTGTACTTTACAATTTATAGATCCCGTTATTGGCCTCATAAGAGCGGCTCTTTTAATAAACGGACTAAGGAGCCCGTTAGCATCTGTTCAGGGCCATTGGCTTTAACGGCCTCTCAGCTCTGCTCCCCTTAAGGCCATCCTCAGGACCGGGGAAGGAGCCCAACTGGCCCACGTTGCTCTCAGCAGTCACGGCAAATGGCCCAGAAAGAGCACAGGGAACTGGTGTGTTTGGGCAATGCACAACGGTGGGCAGAAGGAGCTTTACGGCTCCAGGAGGCAGACTGCAATGCTGCTCAGGGCACTGTGCCAGGAAGGCCTTGCCAGCTGTTGGGAATGTGATGGCCCCTGCGTGAAGTGAGTTGGTGGCTCTCCGTGCAGTTCCTAGTGGCCAGGTGTCCACAACACACAAACCATCGTCACAACCCTACGCCCCATCCTCCACCCCCCGTTGGCTCATTCCCAGAGTGAGGCAAGTCCCAGGATCCGGCTGAAATTAGAAAGTAAGAAGCCCACACTTCTCCTGCACAGGTTGGTGGGCCTTGTCAAATGAATTAACTGCTATTAACCATTCATTTATCCGGTGCAGCAAACGTATGTGGGGCTTTGCGGATACAGATGGGGTCAGGTGTATTTCCCATCCCAGCTGCTGCAGGAGATGCACTGGGGCCAGGCTTAACATCTCTACTTGGCATCTATACTGATCTGCCTTATTAAGCGTGAGAGTGTCTTTGAAGCCTTGCAGCAGCACATGGCCAATGGGGAAGTTGGGGGTGTGCAGGGCGTTTCTCCTTTGATCAGCCTGTGTGAAAGCACCTCTGGATCAAATGCGCTGTCCCCCAGGAGTCCCCTGAGGGAGTTTAGCCCTAGCTGCAGTACATGGCGTCCTGGAGCACATTGATTTCATCTTCATTTCATATCAGTCGACTTCATTATTGTGGATTAGTCAGTTACCAGTTGAGGACCCTGCCAGGAGCAGCTCTTGGTTTCTGCCCCCTTTCCTCCAGGTTTTATCTCAGCTGGGGCCAGCTCGCTGTCAAGGAAGCCTGGGGGCAGCAGCAAGGCTCAGAACAGCTACTCCCTTCTCCCCTCTCCCTGGGGCAGGAGGACTACTAGGATACTGGCTGAGGCAGACAGCAAGGCCATGCATGCAGATCAGGATCATGGTACATGAGCTGAGCTGTGCAAAGGTCCAAGACTAGAAAAGGAAAGGGGGGCTGTAGGGCAGGATTACGGTGCCCTGGAAGACCCATGTGGGATGCCAGGACTAGACTAGCAGAGAGGTTTGCAAATGTGGAATTGAGGTGCATACACAGAGCTATTGGGGTAGGAGAGAAGGGGGCGGAGTTTGCGCAGCACTCCCCCAAGCCTGGCTCTAACCAGCTCTCTGTCTCTCCTGTGCACAAGCACTAAATCCCCACCCCCACCCAGGGAATCAGAACTCCTTGTGAGAACCACGTAGGTTTCACCACGACTCAGTGGGGCTGGATTAGTCAGACAGAGGCCTTTCAGTTTCCAGCACAGATACCAGGCAGGTGGGGCAGCACAACCAAAAATCCTTCAAGCTGTAGCCTCCTACCTTGGCAGGTGAAGCACCTGATGTGGAAGTGATTGCTCTGGACGCGCACCACCTCTCCCTTACATGTGTCTCCGCAGCGGTAGCACTGGATGACGGTGGAGCTGCCCCGGGAGCTATACGGGTTTTGTTGATAGGGAACTGCTGGTGAAAAGGAGAGAGTGACAAAGACAGCGTGTGTTATCACGAGGGAAGCAGTGTGTCCCAACGGGGCACTGCCCAGCTGGCTGCAAGTCATCAGTCCAACACAACTTAAACTGTGAACTTAAACCATCTTTTTGTTGAGTGTTTGTAAAGCACCTAGCACAATGGGGCCCAGATCCATGACTGGGGCTCCTAGGTGCGACTGCAATACGAATAATAAACACTAGTCATAATAGTGATGGAGAAGAGCTACGTAGTGAAAACGGTCAGCAATTCGTCACCTCTGTGAAAACCGTACATGCCCCAGATGGGCTGTCAGTGAGAGGTAGCTCTACTGAGCAGAGTAAGGGACTGGGAGTCAAGAAACCTGGTGTTCTGCTCCTTGCTCTGCCCCAGATTCACGGCAGGCCACGGCCCCATCTGTGTTTCCCCATCTGCACACTGAGGATAATGAGACTGACCCAGCTTTATAAGCTCTGCAAGGTCTTGAGACAACAGGTTTTAAAAAGGGCAAAACATCACTCCTTCTCCTCATTCTAGGTGAGCAGGCTTGGAATAAACCACCAACTGCCCCCCCACAAAAAAAGATGGGGCAGTTCTGCGTTATGGGCCACACGTAGCTGGGAGGATGAGAATTGAAAGCACATGCATCCTGCAACCGTGCTGAGAAGTACAGTGCCGAAGGAGTCTGTCCCTCCCACACCTGCCCCCACCCCATTGTCTCCCCTTCCCTCCCATTTGGGTTGTATATTTACTGCTGCAGCCAGACAGCAGTCTCTGCAGTTCCCAAACATCTGTTCCCCAGCCCTCGGAAGAGGAGCTGCTGCCTGAGTAAACACATCCTAGTCCAAACACTAACCCCACTCTCCAGCAGATGCTTCCCAGCCGCAGAGTCAGCAGGGAGCCTGGCGAACAGCAAGCCCTCCCAGAAACTGCATCTCCTCCCTTCCGAGACCAGCACAGCAACTTCCCTCCCCACCCAGACAGTTGCCCCTTGCTCCTTTTGCATGATCAGCATGCAGCCACCTTGCTTTCCTTTTCTAAGGTGAGTCTGGGACTGGGGAAAGGCCCCATCAGGCATCCCCAGGGAGGGACGTCCCTTCTTTCTCCACAAACCAGAGGTAGTAGGGACAGTGGCTGGACAAGCTTCCTACCCTCTGCCAGGCTGGTGCATCACAACAAACCTGGAGGGAGAGCATTTGTAATGTTCTGTAGCCCATTCAGTCCTGGGCATCTGCTGAGAGAGACAACAAACTGACAATGCCAAACTTCGTGTGTGTGTGGGTGGGGCGGGGCGGGGAGATGGGATTTTAGCGATGCTGACACCTATTTCATTAGGAACTGGAGTGACACCCACTAATTTATTTCATCCAGGCCGCCAAACAGCTGTCAGGAGATAACATCTTTCATTCTGTACGGACCTAGGTTGGGATCAAATCTGCCCCCGGGTGGAGAAAGGCTCCACTTTTCATCATCAACCCCCAGAACTGGTCCTCATCACCAGTCTGTCTGGGGGATGGGACAGCTTTCTTGTGGGAAGTGTTCTGCTGGGAGCTAGAGAAACACTGGATGGGAGCAGCCTCTCCAGAAATCTCCTTGGGATCCCTCAGGGCAGACACTGGAAGGGCAGTTAGACTGTGGAGTGCTCTGTTTGTCCAGGTGGAAGCTCCACTACTTGAGCCATTAAACTGGAGAAAACCCTGGAGAATAGACTGTAGGGCAGGAGCGCACCAACTTCCTCAGTCTGACGAACATGGAAAAGATCCTCTGGGGGATTCACCTCCAGCTCCACTCCCCAAACCCACGTCCCTCCCTGCTTGCTCAGCGGAACATTTCACTCTGCAGACCTCCAGGAAGGGTTGTGTACACCTCAGTGTGAGAAGGACGGCTGAGCAGAACAGAACCCTGCTCTTGGCTCTAGGGGAAGAGGGAGGAACTATACAACCAAAGGAGTCCTTCCCCCTCGGATTTCGATAAGCAGGCTCTCCCTCAGAACACAGACATCACAGAGGGATAAAGGGCACGTCCTGTCCATTACAATTTCATAGTCCTTTGTTCTAGGTGCGTCTCCCCCATGCAGTGTGTAGGAGCTTTTGGACACGGTACTGGGGTTTTTAGGCCTGAGCAGCAAAGTATTTGTTCCTGCTGCCACTACTGTAAGAATGCAAAGAGAGCGTGAGGCTCGGAGGAGATGAGTGGAAAAAAGGCAGTAGGGTGAAGCCCCTGAGCAGGAATTTAAGTGGTTGGCGAGTCTGAGCCAATGGGCTGGAGGCTTGGTAACCCCAGGATGAACTGTTTATATGGGGAAAAAAGGAAACTGAGGTCACTGAAAGCCTGGTACATGAACAAAGGCCCAGAGCTTGAGTGAAGGGACATCAAACAGCAGAGATCTCTCCGCAGAAAGACACATCATTCACTGTAGCGATGGGGCTATATTCAGCAGATTTGGTGACAGACAAAGAGAATCAGCCTACTGTGGCTTCTTATGCTAAAAACCCAACACAAATTAAAGAGTATCTTGTGCCCAAATTCCATCTGATATGCCAAACCCTTAGCCAGTGATCATCTGAGCTCTTTTACCGGTCACTGAGACCAGCTCTTTGGGTGCAGAACAGTGTCCACAATTAGTGACTTCTAGGGTGTGGCCCCTAGTCCTGCCCAGACAGGCAATCCATCTCACGATATTTTTGAGCCTGCTATTCTCCATCTCCCCTTCGCAGTGTGGAAAGCTGCTGCCTAGGCAGGGCATGGGAAAAGCACACTATCCCTGATGCATTTGATATAGGTCACATCCAGAGACAGACTCAAGCTCAGGTCCAGATCTGGAGCTGAACTTCCAAGGTTTGCTGGACTTTTCATCCTGCAAATGTTTTGCATACACAGAACTCCCAGTGATGCCAACATAGATTCTGCAGGTGGAGGTTTGCAGGATTGAAACCTAGAGCTGTGGTTTGGCCTATCACAGAGATAGCAACTAGCTGCAATGTGTGGCTCTGGACCTGAGCTTCTCCAAGGTCCCAAATGTTGGTTCTGACTCGCTTCTAGTTCCAAGAGATGAAATTATTCCCAAATGGGCTGATTTTCCTGATGTTTGAAACGAGCTGGGCTGCCCAGTTGGCGAATCCAGCAGTGACAGCATAGGAATCTCCGAGTTCTGCCAATAGAGCTCATCATGGCAAACTAATAAAACCCAGCAACAAATTCATGTGCTTGCTCAGACATCGCCCATATGGAAATAAATAACAGGACATGCCTCTGGGGTCCTCGATCAAACCACAGAACAAGGCACTAAAAACAGTCTAGCATGGACTGTTACAATAGACAGCTTCTTAACAGGGAGCATTTATAGTACAATTGCATGCCTATGTACAGGCGATGTCTAGGGCCGTAGAGAACTCTTCTCTCAGGAAATGCTTGATGAGAGAGGACTGTATATGTAGAGGAAGGAAAAGAGCCTAAATGCTACACTGGCTAGGCTCTCTCCCTTAGTATGCTCAAACACTGACCAGGAAGAAACCTACATTGGCCTCTAGAGGATGGGGCCTAATAGTCCTTTTCCAGCTCTCATTTCTGAGAGTCCCTGAAATCCAAGACTGTTCTGCAAGCCTGAAGCACAACTGTTAACAGCACATAGTCTAGGAGGGACCCTGGATCAAGTGGTCGGGGTCCCCCAGGGATATACATGATACTAATAGGTGGTATATTGCAATAGCTTGTGAATACCGATATCTTCCATATGGGATGCCAACAGAGAAAGGGTTATAGCAGTGCAAACTGCCTCTGCCAGCCCATGGGATAGAGCCACGTCACTCCAGAGGCCTCGGCCAGAGAAGCTGGGGATGTGAGTCGAGGAATTAATCAACGTTTGAATAAACATTAATAAAAATCTGTGTCGGAAAATTCATCCATCAATTATGGGCTTCTTGTCTCTAGGGGGAACTTCCTGGTGACCATAGCAACATGTCACCAAGCCCTGATCTGATAATCTGACAGAAGAGAGGAAGGCAGAGAGAGCGCGAGAGAATAGGAAAGAGTAGGAGAGTGATGGAGGAGACTATAATGGTTATGGAAGCCAGAGATTCAGCTTCTGAACGCAATTACACCAGTGTAAATCCTGAAATCAGAGGAGTCACTCCAGATTTACACCAGCATATGTGGGATCAGGATCTGGCCCAGGGAATCATCACCTTCTTGCATGCTCGCTTTGCTCAGCATGAAGTGGAGAGCTCCCCCAAACTGAGATTAGCCTCAGGCTGGCTCCGGAATTTCTCCCTCTAAACATCAGTGCTTTGTTTTGCTCTGCGGCCTTTTGTTTTCGAGAAGCTGGCTGCTCCCTCTTGACCCTGCACAGGAAGTATTACACATTGCTACACGCCCTAGCAGAGGGACAGCCGATCAGGGCAAAGCTCATTATGCCAAAATAATCCAGTAATAATGTAAGTGGCATTAGGCGACTCACAGGCTGAGATGCAGGAGTCTGGGGCAGGGGATGGGGATCTGAGCTGCGCTGCCGCTGGAATGCCTTAATCTCACACTGGTTCACTCCTGCCCGAGATGGACATGCTTGTTTAGCAAGAAAATTAAGCCAAGTTCACCTAATTGTTAATGCGCTAACTCCTAACGGCAGCACTAAAGGTTCCGTAGCGCTAGATTCCTCCCTGGTGTAATTCCAGCCTCTTCCAGCAGGGGTGATTTGGCCTATAGAATCCGATGTGGCCCCCTGGCTGTTGTTTACCTATTTTTACCCTATCCAATGGTAGGGGTGAGGAAGGGAAGCTATCTGGACCTCACGGCTACCCAGGCTTGGGCCGTATCTCTTTCCAATGTCTTTCCAGCTGCATTTGTCATCTCCAGTCAGTGATCAGGACCCCACTGTGCTAGACACTTTCAGAAGCCTGGGACCCGTGGCCACATCACCAAGGGCTGTGATCTTGTCAGATCTTACAAGCTGGGTGGGGCTGGGCCTGGATAGGAGACCACTACGGGAAAACCAGATG